AGAGAGGAAGGAAGCAAGGAAGGAAAGAAGGAAAGAAAGACAGACAGGAAGGAAGGAAGAAAGAAAGAAAAAGAAAGAAAGAAAGAAAGAAAGAAAGAAAGAAAGAAAGAGAAAGAAAGAAGGAAGGAAGGAAGGAAAGACAAGAGAGACAGACTTTTGTCATGTTGGCCATAGATTAAGACGACTTATATAAAAAGGATAGCATAGGTAAAGTGCTAAGTTTGGAAAATGAATGCATTCTTGCTTTTGTTTCAATTTTTATTTTTTATTAATACACGTTTGCAGTACATAATGAGTACACTCCTTGTGGGGAGGTGGTACGTGTACATAACACATCTTCATTCTTTCTTCACCCCTTTCACCTCTCTACATCTCTTGGTCTTCCTCTCTTTTGCAAAGATCCAGCTCACTATTTCCTATTACCTGTCTTTTATTTTGCTCTTTATTTACATTTTGGGTTTCTCATATGAGAGAAACTTTCATACTTAAGCTTGTATTCCGATTTATTTCACTTAACATTATGGTCTCAAGGTGCATCCATTCTTCTGACATATAATGTTTCAGGGTATCTAGGAAAGTTAACAGCAATTCAATCTAATCTAACTTTAGTATGTAATTATGTAAATTTTAAACTAACATAAGTAATCAGGTCTTACTTATATATTTTATTTGGTAGTAGAAAAGACTTTAAATTTGCTAATGTTTGCAAATTAAATATCTATACAGGGCACTTTATCGAGGCTTTTTCTACTTAAGTCTCTATCACAAACATTTCAATAAGTTTCTGCTGAGACCAAATTAAATGCGAATATTTTCAATTTTTAATATAAGGATAAAATGTAAAGTTGATTCTTTAAAAATACAAAAAAGAATCATATGATAAGAAAAGATGACTTTTGCAGTGTTTTTCTACTGAATTTCACTGATTACCAGTGGCCCGCCTTTGTGAAATGATTCACCAAGCTTAGAGATAGAAAATGTAGACAGAATGACACTGACTGGCCCTTGTGGATATAATGGTGGCCTCATAAACATCATTCAATAGGCAGCTAAATCAATGGGTCACATTAAAATAAGAAATAATATAATAAGTAGCAGAGAAAAATGGATTTTAGACAAAAAATTTGTTACATTCTGCTCCAAGGCTAAATATTACACCTGACTATTCCCTTTGAAATTTCTGAGGGAAAAAAAAGATTTGCTGCCAGAGCACAAAATAAGAATCAGACACCAGCTAGTACTTCACAGGTCACTTTCACTCTCCCCAGAGATCTGAGGCAACAGCTGGAGCCTCTCATAATCCGGTCTAAATTAAATGGTAGCACTGCAGCCTTCCATTTTGCTCATGCTCTGTGCATGGTACTTGATTTTCTTATAAAATTAGATTGGATTCCCAAATGGAACCTGAAGTGGGACTGAAGGGGAGAGAAGAGGAAAGAGAGAAGGCCAAATAGCTGAAAACAACACTATTTTTAGAAAGTTTTTAGAGTGTTTAAAAGCATGTAAGCATGTATCTGTATCTTATTTTGTGAAAAAAAGTATGTCTATCTCCTTTCTCCTGTACATACACACTAACGATGAATATCACGGACTCTGAAATTACTTTAAACAAAAGGAAATTTGACATTTTGGACCATAGGGACACTGAAGAAGTTTAAGATTTGCAAAATGATAACTGGAGATGGTCTATAATTATTATCTATAATTATTATCCACTATCTTTTATATTATCAATTATATAAATGTGTGTACATTGTCCTAAACCTTATTTACTCTATACATCATTATTGGAATTATCTTAATCCTTCTGCTTTATGAACTAGACAATATTTGATATTTTTAATAATAAGAGACTGTATTGGTTATCTAAAGTTGTCATAACACAATATGACAGATCAAGTGGTTGAAGCAATAGAAGTTTGTTTTCTCCAGGTTCTGGAGGCTGCAAGTCCGAGATCAAGGTATCTGCAGGGTTGATTTCTCCTGGAGCTTCTCTGCTTGGCTGTCAGATGACCACCTTCTCACTGTGTCCTCACATGGTCTTTGTGTCCCTGGCATCCAAGTTTCCTCTTCTTTTAAGGCTACCAGTCAGATTGGATTTCAGCCCAACCTCATAACATTATTTTAACTTCATTCCTGCTGGGAAAACTCTATCTTGAAATATAGTTGCATTCTGAGGTGCTGGAGGTTAAGAATTCAACATAGGAAATTTGAGGAATGTACATTTCAGATCATAACACACACAGAGATCAATCAAAATGCATGTTGCTATATTCCCCTTCACATTGCAATGGCCTAACCAATATTTAGCCATTAACCCCTTGAATACAATGCCTGGAGATGGGGAACATAAATCCCCTAAAACAGCATAGGCTGCCTACGGATGGCTAGTTCAAGGTGAAGACAAAGTAATTTATAACACATTGCCCCTGTTCTTAAGAAATCTAGTAGGATCTAGTGGAATCAGGACTTCACTCACAGAGATCAAATAGGTAATAATTAAGAGCAACAGAGGATGTGAAGGGGGACAGATCATCAGAAGACAAAGTCATCAGATAAGGTTTCGGGGAAGAGCTGAGACTTTTTCTTGATCTCAGAGTGTGCAGAATAAAGAAGGGAAATGTGAGTTGAGAAAGCACAGTTTGGTAAAGGTCAGTGGAAAGATTGGCTTTACCAGTGGGAAGCCTGCCTGAGGAAGTAGGGATGTTGGTGAAGCTAGATGCCTGGGGGGCATGTAGCCAATTTGAGTAGATCTTTAAAACGTGGTATATTTAGATAAGATACAACAGACGATGGATAGGATTCACATAAACCAAGTGACAATTTGATCTGACTTAAATTCTCATTAATAAAATGAGAAGCTATTAAGGGCACAGGAAAAGGGCTAAAGGACTTGGTAATGATCAATGTTGTGTGATGACAAAAGTCTGGACAGGCAATATAATTTAAAAATAAATACAAGGAAGCTATGGGAAGACTTGTTAAAAGACATGCCAGGACTGAGAAGTAAGAGCACAGCCTCAAATCTTTTCATTTGGACAACTAAAGAATGTTTATGTTCCTAAAAGCATCAGGAGTAGTTGGAAGGTAAAATAGATTTATGAGATAGTGAGATTGCCAGATTCACCTCTGAACACATGGAGCTTAAGGTAACAGTGAGATATTAGAGTAGGCACAGATGATAAGTGATTGAAAATGCAGGTGAAAAAATTGGATCCAGAGATTAGGATTTGGCAATGTTCTTATTGGATAGCTAAACTTAATCTACTTATCAGAAGGGAAAATATAGACATCCTGATCCTGATCAGGGAGCCTGATCACAGTCTAAGAGACTCACTCTGAGAAGCAATTCTATAATGTGCATTTTAAAAACAGCAAAAGCCCAGCCTCGCCTAACAAATCATTCAACTCTGCCCAACAACCTCATACTTGCTTCCAAAGACCCAGTTCTACACAAGTCAGAACCATTTCCATTTGTGCTGTCTGAAAACTCTAATCCAATTGGCAATAACAATTATGAAGGGTGTGGAGAGTGGAAACTGGCCTGTTCTTTATCAGAAACTCAGTTTTATCAGCTTTTCTTCCTTGGAAGAGAAATGAGATAGCTCAACATCTGAAGGAGGGGATAATTCATTGCACATGAAAAAAAGGGATCCTGACATCAATGGGGAATTTGGCTTCTCCAAGACTAACTTATTTCTTTCTTCCTTTAACTCACCTTCCAGGCTTTGTCAAGTTGCCTCTGGGAAAAAAAAAATATCCTTTTTAGTTAGACTTAATTTTAGATTACCCTCAATAAGTCATATCAAGAATGATTTTGGACATACTTCTGGTTTCTGGACTGAGCCATGATGATGATATTCTAGAAGGAAGTTCAAATTTTCTTGCAAAAGACATATATGCTTATAAAAAGAGTGAACTGATTTATGGAACTTTTTCAACCACTGTTAAAAGCCAGGATCTTGGGTCCAGTCTTGGAAGAGGGGGTGGAAAGTGAACAGAAATCCAAGCAACAGCAGTGGGTAGTTGGTTGACAGAGGCATGCAGGTGGCAGAATCTGCTGTTGTGTGAATGAAGCAACAAGAAACAATATACCCAAGCAAGCCTTGTCAAGGGGGTCTGGCAATAGGTAACAGGGACCCAAGCTTCAGGCCTTGCATTGGAACCAGAGGAAAAGGCCACATCCAAAGGACATGGTCAGAGAAGACAACAGGGGAAATTCAGGAACAGGGGATGGGAGAGCAGATGACTTAATAGAACTGAGAAACAGGCAGGTATTAGTTCCCAGCCAAATGAGCCAGTGACACAGTTCTGGAAATGAGCATGACTTCCTTGAGCATGGCTTCCTTGACTAATGGATTGATTTATTGATCAAGGTAAAATGTCGAGGGTAAAAAAATCATCTCTAATGTTTTATTAATCATCCAGTCCCCTCCCGTCAATTATTTTCTTTAAAGAAATCGCATTATTTGTTTAGGCTTATCCCTCTTAACTGTGACTAACTTTTCATGAAGTAATTCCTCTGACTGAATTATTCCAAATAGTCTCCAGAGAACAAAGACTGATTGCTGGCCAAGAAGCGATCCGAATCTCTTCATTAGAAAGAAGCACACTACTTTCATTTGCCTGGCCTTTTCCGAGTACAGACCCTTGTGTCTCCTCCAAAAGGTCTGTATTATTAGGGCAGTGCTAACTCCAGGAGGGATGACACAAAAACTGTTAATAGATTAGGGTTAAAATAAAGCCGAAGTAGAAAACAGAAGTGTTCCAAAAAAGAGAAGTATAACATAGAAAGCGGAAAAAAGGCAAAGTATTTTGCTTCTGAGTCAGTAACTGTCTTTGTGAAGCATGTATTTCAAAAGCAATGTATGGTAAAACTTTTATGGGCTCTTACTACCTACATGTGGAGTTTTGGGATCTTTTACTGTCTTACTAATAAAAGAAGAAGGAATACATTAAGTCAAATTAATTTTTTACAAAAAAACATTGTATTTCCTCAGAGCCAGCTCCTCCCAAATCACTCTTCGCAGTGAACAAAACGCAGACCTCGGTGACTTTGCTGTGGGTGGAGGAGGGAGTAGCAGATTTCTTCGAAGTCTTCTGTCAACAGATTGGCTCTAGTCAAGGATCCCAACTCCAGGTATGTACAGTTTGACTTTACTTTTCTGGGTTAATTTCAATTAATGCTAAATATCTAAACAAAACAAAGATCTTCTATCTTTGGACTATAAGAAGTGCAAACTGTTTTCTTGTTTGTGTTTCAGTGATAGAAATAATATTGTTCTTAGAATAAGACCGTGACAACTTTTGCATTTGTGTTATCTTTTGCCACTGATCTTTGGCCGCTCTAGGACATACAAAGAAATAAAGAAACTGGTTCACTAAGTTGATCAACAAATGAACCAATATAAAACAAAACTTAACAAATAAATTATATTTTCACTCCCAGCCATACAAAATAAGTATAAAATATAATTGCAAATATAAAGTATAATTTAACAAATATGAGCCAATTGGCACTTTTCTGTAGAACACAAATAGTAGAATCAACATTTGTCTTCAAAATTTTTTGTATAGTTTTTTGTATAGTTGTTTATAAACAAATAAGTAAAGCAAAATAGAAATACCACAAGAAAGAGTCATACTACAAAGAGAAATTAAAGGAAACATACATTTCTAGTTTATAAGGAGAACAATTTTCTTGGCAACGAAGTTTAAGAAATGGTTATTTCTAATGCTTTGGAATCACAAATAGCAAGAAGTGTGAGTATTGTGCTGAGTCATCTTTTTACATTATACAGTAGTATTTATTAGTCTGGCCATTGGTTCACCAAATTAGCAACTTGCTGTTCTCAACAACAACAACAACAACAAAAAACAACCAAAAAAAGAGGCAAATATTAACTGTTTCTGAGCCCACAAAGTTGCTGAAAGCTGAAAATGCAGGTAAAAGATTTTAAGATTTAAATAGCTGCTTCAAGTCAGAAAGATAAAGACCAACAACCTCTAAAAAATATTTCCTGAAAAGATAAATACAAAATATTCTTGAGCACATGAAAAATTGATCAGCTTCACTCATAAGAAATGCAAAATAAAACTACAAGATAAAAGTTTCACTGATACTATTGAAAAAGCTCACCTTGAAAATATACTGTGTTGGGAAAAAAATGTAAGAAAACAGGCACTGTCATACATAGGTAATAGGTGGGTAAATTGAGAAATGTTTGTGGAAGGCTACTTTTAATAGCTTTTGATATTTATTAAAAATGCACCCTTTTTTGAGCAAGCAATTAGCTGCTAATATACAAGTGTGTGTGCACTCGTGTGTGCATATTTACATAGCTTTTATGTGTACCTATGTGTGCATGTATATATATTGTGTATATTTATATAGCTTCTCAACATTTATGAAATGATGTTCACTGTAGCATTGTTTGCAGTAGTACAAAAAATTCAGAGTCCATTTAAACCTTCATCAGTAGGGGCCTAGTGAAATAAATTATCACTATCAATGGGTTTCTGTGCATCCCTTAAAAGGAATAAACCAGTTTAATCTGAACTGACATAGAAATAATGGGAAAATGTATTGATAACAAAGGTTTTTATAAAGGCAGAAAAATGTATGAACTATGGCATCATTTATGATTTTAACTATTTTTTATATGAGTATACACCCATAAAATATACATAGAAAAAAATATCACCTGACCACAGTGGCTGCTCCCATGGTAGAAAATTGGGTAGATGCGGAATAAAGGAAGAAAGAACTATTTTCCACTGCTACTCCTTTTCATCTGACATTTTTTTACTCAGGCTATGTATATTAGCTATGAAAAATAATTTTAAAAGCAAAAGAGATGAAGATGAACATAAACTATGTTTTACTCTCTGCACCTCCAGGAGCCAGTTGCTGTTTCTTCCCATGTTGTCACCATCTCCAGCCTTCTGCCTGCCACCGCCTACAACTGCAGTGTCACCAGCTTCAGCCACGACAGCCCTAGTGCCCCTGCATTCATAGCCGTCTCGACAATGGGTAGTTATACACACCAGTGCAGTCTGGCCTTTGGAATTTATTTCTTTCCACACTGTCTTTCCTTTATGAAGAAATATGTATTATCTTCCTTTTAGTGGAGCCAATGTTCTACTGAAAAAAACTCAAGCTGTGGAATCGGGTACATCTTAAATCCAATCAGATATATGACTCAGGGAAAGCTATTTCCTGTCTCTGAGACTTTTTTTTATCTGTACAGTTAAAATAATAGTATATTACTTTTTGGGTTATTTTGAAGCTCAGAAAGGAAATACAGAGACCTCTAGCGTCTGCTGTTTACATGCTAATGGCCACATCACCAACTTCATTACCATTACCCTCTTCTTCAGCAGTAAGCACAATACCCTGAACAACTAGGGTTCATCTATTGTATCTCTGGACCTCAGCCTTAACACTGATCAAATAATGGCTTACGTAAATTACTGAGTCAAAACAAGAAAGTCTGTAATCCAGCAGAAAGTGTAGGTCTGGAATGATGTTTGCCTCCTTGTTCTTTTCCTGGGTTGTATTGTGCATGTTTGTTGGAGTCTGATTCCACACTCTTAGTCCCTCTATGAAGCTCTTCTTTCTATCACATTATTCCTTCACTGAGTTCTTTCTCATTTCTGTAATATTACTCATATATTTCGCTACCATATTCAGTGATGGCTGGAGTGAGCTTTAGAAAAACATTTTTATTTCTATTTTTCAGAAGAAAGGACAAAAATATTAGCCTGTAAAGATTTTAATGGTATCTTGTTGCTGTATCCTGTTAGATTTTTCTAAGTACACTTTAATGTCTATTATTCCTTGTCTCTCCCTAAAAACCTAGTGTAACAGGTAGTTTTATTAAGCTTATTTGCAAGTGAGAACAATGAGGCCCAGAGTGACAGTCAACAGCCAGGTGACCTTGAATATGCACTTCTCACCAGGAGTCGGCTATTTTGCCTGTGCAGACATTCAGCCTATAAACTAGAGCCAACCTGGCCCAAATGGAAAGTAGCAAATATCCACAGCCTTCAGGATTTCATGACCTGCAATTTCATGACCTGTGTAAAGGATGATATGCTTTTCCTCTGGCCACTTTGAACTGTTTAATAAGGATTTTAACATATGACCATGCTTTTGATATCCTGCTCATCCATGTAGTGTGAAGATCCAGCCATGTACAAGTGCCACAGTAAGCAGGCATTACATAAAGTATATAAAAAGGACACATCCCTTATTCTCGAGGACCCTCCAACTTATTAATAGACTTAATCTCTTGAGTTGTGCAGATGGAAAACCTCTGAACATATGGCTCCAGATCATCAGAATGCTGCCTCGACTAATGTGTTAAGTGCTGCAACAGATGGCAGCTTGCTAATGCCTTTTTCATATACATTATTAGTTGTGCACAAAGTATACAGTTGTGCTTTCTGGCTTTAAAAGCATGGGTGTAAGATACGAACCTGCCACCTTCAAAGCTTCTGAAAATGTTAAGCAATGATAATACATGATAATGACTTCTAGATGTTGAATTTTCAATGAACTTAAGCTATGGCAAGACATTCTTCACATTTTATAGTTACTCTTGATAAGAACACCCTGAATATGGTAAGCCTTTGAGAGAGACTCAGTTCTTCCAGGTACCTGAACACTGTGTATCAGTCTAAGTTATAGTTGAGGACGAGGTCCTGGTTGACTTGGGAAAACATGATTTTTACCTTTATTGTTATCATCCTAAATTCACTGCTCTTAAGATTAGATAAAAGCAACAAATGGTTGGTTTGCGTATAATGGAACATATAATGACCACATATGGCTTCTTAGTTACCCAGATGAATCCTAACGTAGTGGTGATTTCCGTGCTGGCAATCCTTAGCACCCTCTTAATCGGACTGCTGCTTGTCACCCTTGTCATTCTGAGGAAAAAGCATCTGCAGATGGCTAGGTAAGTTAAGTTTTGTTAATATTTTATCCGGCATCTTCACAATGTCTTTACCTGTGTGTGTGTAGCTTTTGTAGACCTAATTTGTCTACTGGTAAATTTGATTTCAGTTTTTATTATTTCTATATTTGTTTTCTGAGTGAACTTTTAAATATTCCTTTAGAAAGTATTGCTTTTGAATTTGCCAAACAAAGGATTGCTTAGTTGCACAAAGCCATACCCCTTGGCATAATCAATTCCAACATTATAAAAGCCCACACGTAGGAATCCTTTACCTTTGAGTACTATTTTACATATTAGGAGTAAAAGAGTGATCTATTCCTGTTCTGTGTAATTGATGAAAGGAGTTAATAAAAGTGGAAACCACAAGAAAAAAAAAGGGAAAAATCCTTTCATTAGTTTTGCTGCATTGTTTTATCAGAAAGTAAAGGTACTGTTTATGATTAAGTCCCTATTAATTTTATGCCCAAGTCAGAAAACATTTACAGATTTAAAGTGCCCTCTTAGTGTTTTACCTATCACTCATCTGCAACCTGTTTAATTTTTCTTGCAATTAGAAAAGATTTTTCCAGTGCTGGGGGTCAAACTCAGAACCTTGGGAACTCTAGGCAAGCACTCTGCCAATGAACTATAGTCCCAGCCCCAGAAGAGAATTTTGACTTATCACTTCAGTGTTTCCCTATTTTTTTTTAATTTTTTGGTCACTGATCCATTGCTCAATAGAACATGTTCTCAAGTACTTTCTGTTGTCCCAGTGTTATCAGAACAATACATCGATTCCCTTAAGCTATTGCTTATTTAAGGACTGCTGGGTTTGGCAAATTTTGTTCAAATTTATATTTACCCAATGTTAGCCTCCTAAATTATGAATCAATATCCTTTCCCTTTCTCAGAGTTTCATCTATTCATAAATAAATCCAGCCATCCTACAGTGATTTAATCAGCACCTTATATGGTACATGTAAAGAAAAGGCAGACATCAAATGTATCCAGTAGGAAATTCAGTACATAAATAACATAGTTGCATGGTATGAGTGAGCATGGTGAGAGGGTGAGCAGGTGTTAAGATAAAAGAATAGAGTTGGGGAGATTAGCAGTACTAGAATGGAGAGAGGAGCCTTGGGAAGTAGATAGGTTTCACTGAAAGGATGACTCTTTTAAGCAAAACCTTGGGAAACATAAAGGAGACAACCGTGTGTTAGTTAGCTGCAGAAAGAGTATGCCTGGTAGCAAGAGCAGCCAGTGCAAAGGCCCTAGGACAGAAACATGACTAACATTTTCAAAGACAAGCAGAGAGGCTTGTATTATGAATGCAGAGGAAGTAATGGAAAGAGTAACAGGAATATCAGATCACAAAGGACTTCATAAGCTATTGTGAGGACCTTGGCTTTTACTCTAAGTTAAATGGCAGCCATGGCACAGTTTGGAGCAGAATTTAACAATATCTGACTCACGTTTTAATATTTTCATGTAGAAAACAAGCTCTACTGAAGCAGGAAAAAAGGGAAGCATACCAACTGGGGGAATGATGACAGTAATCCAGGCAAGACATGGTACTAGCTAGTCCAGAATTGTAGCAGTGGAGGTTGGGAGAAACAACTAAATTCTGCATAGATTTTGAAAGTAGAGGAAACATGGCTTGCAAACAAGTTGAATGTTGAATGGAGATATACAAAGGAATCAAAGGAGTGGAGGACTATGGGTTTTTGTCTCTAGCAACTGAAAGAATGGAGTCACCAAGAATGGAGAGAGGACTCCGAGTAAAAGGATTTGAGAGTTGAGGAAACACCAGACATCAGCTTTGGAAATGCTAAGTTTGAGATGAACTACAAATACAGTTGTGGAATGGACAGCTAAATAAGAAAGTCAGGGGTCTGGGCCAGAAGTTATGCTTGAAGATATAAATCTGAGAGTTGTTAACATACAAATGATATTAAAGCTATTAGGTGAAAGTCAGAAAATAAGTGTAAGCAAGAGCAGAAGACTCTGGCTTAAGCACTGGAACAACCCAATACTAAAATTTCCAGGAAGAAAAGAAAGAAACAGTGTGAGACAGCCAGTGGAGTAAAAAGAAACTAAGAGAATGTGGTGACCTGGAAGCCAGGGAGAAGACACATTGGTAAAGAGTTAGAAGCACTAAAGCAGCAATGTTATAGTATTCCACTTCTAGGAAATATGCTATAAATGTTAGTGCATAACAGTAATAGTAGCAGGGATAATTAGATATAGTAATACTACACCATTTTTGTGGTGCATACAGCAGATTTTTAGGAAAAGTGGTTCTGCTTTGTCCAGCCAATCATTAAACCAGGGACTCATCAATTTTTTTGTAGGATGATCCTCTTTGGTAGTCAAGGAAGCCTGTGGATCACTTTCGAGAATAATGCTTGCTTTGTAGGGGCTGGGGATTTAGCTCAGTGGCACCACACCTGCCTTGCAAGTGCAAGGTCCTGAGTTCGATCCCTGATACTGGGGAAAAAAATAACACTTGCTTTGTAAAAGCATAAAATAAAATACATAGAATAATGTAATTATACTGAACTATGATGATCATAATATTTTAAAAGCAAATGTGTTGTATGCTTTTATTAGCACTTTATATATCCAACATTTAGTAGAGTATCTAATAAATCATCTTTTCAACATAGTGATGAATGAATATTTCAAGATATCTGCCTCAAGTCTATTGTGTAGAAATATCTGAAATTTCTCCTATTAGCCCATGACAGGTATCTATATTATGATGGTTTTATTTCTACTTCAGTAGTAAAAAGAACTGCTAAATTTCAGTTACAGGCTATGAAAACGAAGGTGTGCTTTTTTTCTCACTTATGTTCTTGGTGTCTAAATTCTATCTATGGACCCCATATAAAGAACTCCTGAATTAAAGAGTAAAATAAGTCCCACATGTATGAAATTGACATAGGAAAACATACTAATGACAATTTTATGGTATAATATTATATAACAATATTTTAGTTTGCTTTTCAGAAAAAGAAAATTATTCTTAAAATACATTAATAAGAATAGTACGTAACTAAAGGAATTTGCACATTTGTACCAATTACATCAAAAGCTCTGTTTCAGTTTTTAATACAGGAGAAAGAAGCATGAGCCCCAGTGAGCTTTTCTTTACATGTGATATTAGTCAAAGGTTAGAGAAGGCATGAAAGTATGCCTTCTTTTTTACCCCCATTTCTGGGGAAAAAAATTTTAACAGTGTTTAAAGTAACAGTCTAGTTGAAAACATTCTAGATATTTCAAGGAACCAATGTATTTCAATATAAACCACTCTTATCTCAAGTGATAAATAAGAAGGGCTTCATAGTATAAGAAAATTTTTGGAGAAAATCTTATTCTACTACCACTGCAGGAAAATAAACAAAGTGTGGTAAAACAAATCCCACAAAAATTTTGTTAAATGTGGAAAATACTCAGTTTTCTAGGAGAGCTTCTACACCTTCCTAATGAAGTCTTTGTGAGAAATATCATCCCCTCATATAGTGCAAAGATATATTTTAGGATCTCAAATACCCTTTGGCAAAGATTCTGAGTTAAATCCTTTTGGACTCAAATGGCTTGATTTGCAGCCTTGCAAAAGTCATTTTGTTTTATCTTTCTGTTTTGCATTATATGCAAAAGAATAACATCTGTAGAACTTTTATTAACTTTTTTTTTCATTTAATGCAGTCATGACAAGCCAAGAGTCTCTCTCTACTTTTACATCAGATAAAGAGTGCTTTGTCCAGCAATGACCTTAGTTTTTGTGGCCTCTTTCAGAGAGTGTGGAGCAGGAACATTTGTCAATTTTGCATCCTTAGAGAGGGATGGAAAACTGCCCTACAATTGGTGAGTGTTGTTTTGAAACGAAACTCCAGATAGGTTAGAAATGCCGCATGTGCGCCAAATTCGATTTTACTGTCTTTCCAAGTTAAGTAGTTTTGTCTGTGCCCCGTCATGATTTCACCGGCTAGTTCATCACAGGATATGATGGTTTCTATAATATTAATACAATTCAGAAGTAGGGAATAGTCCCAGTTTGCTCTGTATTACTACATTGCTCAAAGGACTAAAATAGTCATGCAAGGAGCCCCAAACCATGCTGAAGAGGGGCTCAAATGCAGGAGCTGTGCTGGACAAGTGTAGCTGAAGGCCCAAGGGGAGACTGGACTGAAACAGCTTGAGACAGGGCTGCATCACTATGTTACAACTCACATTTCCATGCCTGGAGACATACGCCAGCATTTCTGCTCAACAATTAAGGGAGAACTGTACAGCCCAGGGCAGTACATACAGATTAATAAATATCAAAGCCAGGGATGTCCGAAAACATGGCCTCAGTTTTCTTTACACTTGAGTGTTAAGGACCTAGAGGGAGATGTTTGGGAAATAAAGAAAGCAATGTCTAAAGATTCCATTGGTTGACCTTATACCTAACAATGATAGGCAAAATTAACAGTCCTATCCACTTCAGTCAGAACTGAACTAATTAAGTGAACATTTAACATGAAGTCAGCACTCCTTACTTGACCTAGTTTGTTTCTGTTGCAAGCAACCATGCAAATACATTTTAAAATATATACATATTTTAAATATATTTAAATACATCCATTTCATATAAATCCTTGGTAAGTGATTTTTTTTCTATTTTCTAACACCTCCTGCCCCCCCCCCCGCCCCGCTGGTTAATCTTAAAGAAATAAGCAGGAGTGAACATAAATTTTACCTCAGAATCAGGGAGGGGAGGGAGGACTTTATTTATTTATATAAATTTCACTTCCCTGAATGTGAAAATCTAATTGAAAAATGATTTTTTAAAAAGACAATATGTTGTGCCACTTTGAAATTTTAACACAAATAGAATTTTGCTTTTAAACTATGATTAAGTGAACTGTAAAGAAAGAGAATCCCATAAATTCTTGATGGTGAAAGTTTAGGAAATGTCACTCGGTTCGTTCAAATACATCAGCATTGAGATTAAGGGCTTGACTCAGTCACGACTGCCTGGGCCAATCTTCAAAAGGCCTAGTCTTGCCTGTAATGCCAGCTACTTGGAAGGTTCAGGCAGGAAGATCCCAAGTTCAAGGCCAAACTGAGCAATTTAGCGAGACTCTGTCTTAAAAATTTTAAAAGGAATCATAATTAAAAGCGTTAGAAATACAGCTCAGCACTTACTAGGGTCAATCCCCAGTACAGAAGGAAGGAAAGAAGAGAGGAAGAGAGGGAGGGAGGGAAGGAAAAACCAGTTCTTGAGAGCAGTGATGCATAGCCCATTTAGGAGCTGATCCACTTACACCTGGGGCTCAAGAGGGCTGTGAATTAACTAACTTTATAATCAGTCACAATTTGTAACCTTTATGGGAGACCAGCTTGGGCAGAACTGAAGCAAGAGAGAGTTCACTTTGGGAACTTTGTAAAGTGAAGCAAATCCTCCTGCAGCCCCTGGCAGAGCCAGTGTTGCCAGCAGTCATGTTTCCTGCCTGGCTGAGAATGCCGCTCTCGGTGGGGATTTGTTTTAACCAAAGTGACAAGGTGACAGCACCTTTTCCTCTAACTCTGAGAATAGATGAAGCCACAGGACATTTTTAAATCTACATGAATGGATGTTCTGTTTTACAAGAGGACTGAATATCTGAAATTGGATTCAAATCAGGCATCTTAAACCAAGGGTATGAATTCGAACTGAAGTAAAACCCAGTGATTTTGCTTCCACTGAACTGAGTGTCAGTGAGGCAACAGACCACAGAATCGATGAGCTGTTTATTTTAAATGAATAATGCCTGAGTATCATATATATCATACCTCCGTTTTCAGGAATATTTTTAGAAATTACAAAACGATTTAAAGCAGATATCATAGAGAAAGTCACATCTAGTAGTGCAGCTTTATAATAATGTTTCCCAAAAGTTTCGCTGTTACCAGAATCAATGTGAGGAACCTGACCATTTATCTCTCCTCACACAAGCTGCTATTTAGCTATGAAATGACATTAGAGAGGTTTCTTAAAATAGGTTTAAGCACTGGAAGGGTAATATCTAAGAATAAGACCTGACATAACTAATGAGGCACTTGAGAGCCTCATCTCACAGAATGCAAAATGTAATCACCTAATAGCAGACTAACTGACACAAAATAAGTTGAAAGAAATGTATCTGATTATAATAAGGTCTTGTGTGAATAAAAACTGATTTTGTCAATATCGTAGCACTCAAGTTCAAATCCCATGGGATGGAGTAATATTTAATTGTAATTAAGGTGCTTGTCATATTAATTGATCCCAGTAGGTAATTTACTGATCTCTGTTCACAGTTTATATTACTAACTCTTGCACTTTTTCATCCTTACATCTGTTATCTATTAATGCTCACAGGCGTAGGAGTATATTTGCTTTCTTAACCCTGTTACCTTCATGTCTTTGGACTGATTACCTTTTGGCATTTTATATTAATCCTTGGTAAGTGATTTTTTTTTTACTGTTTACCTAGCATGTAATCTCTAAAAGTTAGCTTTTAAAAAGTAAACAAAAAGGACAATTTTCTTTTCAATTATTCTATGCATTTGCCAGCATCTGAAATGATTAACCATGTATTGAAATGCAGTAAAACAGTTCCTGGTACCACAATGCCTATAGAGATTTTCTACTTAAATTTTCTCCTTATGACATTCTTGGCAAGTTTTTCTTTATTCACTCCTAGTCATTTGTTTTTTATTGAGTCTCTCTCATGTTTGTAAATGACACTTTCCATTGCCTTCCCATCTCCATCCATGAGAGAGCTCCATATTTCCAAAAAATAAGGTAGAAGAACTAGGGTCTACATTCTGTATTCTGGGGCTTCTTCATTTTTATAATGTTAACTCCCTATGTATTGAATAGCTATGTGCATGCCTCTTTGCATAATTGTCTTATTTAATTCTCCCCCACAATCCTGTAGAGTATTACAGTCTCATTTTAGAGATGTGAAAATAGACGTTTAAGGAGAGTAACTATCTTAATATCGTGTACTACCACATAAGAAATTCAGGTTCCAAATGCAGATCTTTGTTATATTATTGACTTCTGAAATCTTTTATTCAAATCTTGAAATGTATTCTTTTTGGTTTTTCTCAAATATATCATAATAATATCCTTGAATTCTGAGGCTGCAGAATCCAGAAGGATGATTTCTTTCCATAAGCCAGAAGAAAAATGGTAGCAGTTTTTCAGGAGACTAAGAAAGTCATTAATCTTAAATACAAGCACGAATAATGGTGCATAGTACTAAATTGTGTACAGTCAGATCCAGAAATGTGGATAGCTTCAGAACAACTCAGAAGAAAGCAGTAAAAATATCTCATGAACTGGAAAAAATGAACCACAAGAGGGAGAAAGGAATGGGCAGAAATGTGGAGAGTTACTCATTCAAAAAGACTATTATTCAAATGTTCTTCCAATTCTCTAAGGACAGAATAAATACAGGTGGCAGAATGTAGGATTGCAAGCTGCCATGGAATAAAGATATTTTTAAATGACTTCCTCAAAATAGAGATTATTAATCCAGAATTTGTATTTTCTTTTAAAGATTTTGAGAAAAAGTAGATGTGTGTAATGAAGTCAGAGGACTATACTGAAGGATCAGTTTACTTTCACTGTTATTGTTTGTTGTTTTTACAGTGTTTGGTGTAAAGGTTCATTATAATCTCTGTTCTCAACAATTAGATCAGATAGTTTTCAGTTCTGAGTAGTACACACAAGTTCCAATTTAACTTTTGAAATACATATTGACTTTTAACTCAATGCCTACTTACCATATGCAACATTTCTATGCATTCTTAGAATACTTGTAACGAATACCCTTAAAGTAGAAATATGTATGCAATGTTATATTCATTTCCCTTATTGATTCCCTCAGACTTTCTCATTTTCCACAGTTAGTTTTTAAGTTTTTATGAGGTAGACCTGTGAGTGTGTGTGTGTGTGTGTGTGTGTGTGTGTGTGTGTTTCATGTCTTTCTTAAGGTCCTGTGATGAACACACCTTCAAATTTCAGCAAGCCCTTCGAGGGCTGCCATTTATAGTACTTATCAAATACAACGAGACCTGAAATAGGAAAGGAAAAAACCCTTCAGCAGTTTTTAGAAGAATTGTCTTGAGACTATCTCCAAGTGAAAAGAGAAGGCAAAACATAGAGCCCCATGCTTCCCGCCACTTTCAGAAAAGTTCACACATATCAACCAGTGAAAATGTACAGAATATAAACGATGTTGTCAGCCCCGAGTTTGTGCTATGTCAGATATAAAAGAAAACTTCATGCTTCTGCCCTTCCAGTACAGCTCAGCCTTCCTGCAATCACTTCAATTCCTTACTGTTTGCTTCTCTCATAACTTGTGGCTATTTTCCTCTGCTTTCATTTGCTCCTAGTCCTTATGAACCCTTCCTCCATAGGTGGTTGTCTTTGTCCTTTATCTGCCCTGTGAACTGTGGCCACAAATAACAAAGCTATGCACCCCTACATTTCTGAACACATTGCCTAACTTCCTCTAGAAACAATGTATTTCTTGTAAAGATATGTTCCTAAATTCCTATTGATTTTCTGCAACTTTGTTGTGCCTGTAGTGTTGGTGTGGAAATCCAGAGATACTCTCATAGGACATGTTGCTCAAATCTTTGCCCAGGATGGTAGCAGAATCTGTGCAGCCCAAGTGCTTGATTAAGATAGTCTTGGGATTCTGTTCTTCAGAGATTATGATCTTAGTGCATGTGTCCCTTGAAAGAAATCACCTAATTAGAACTAGCTCTGTCTAGACTCAGTGTTAATACTTGGGTATTGTTGCTAGCACTGCCTGACTCACACTGTGCTTAAGTATTCGTCTGCCTTTTCTAACCCCAGAACAGTTGGTATGTTAAGCACAAAGCTGCCTGTAGTTTAAGGAGCCCAGCTCATGGTCATCGCAAGTTGTATTTGGAGAATGATACTATCTTAAAGAACTTTTATAGATTTTATAATGGTTTCTGTTCAGCTCATGTAAAAGTTGCACTTAGGAAATTGGGAACTTCTTGGGTTTTGTTTTGTTGTGTTTAAACCATTATAAATCCCGTCTCTTCCACAGCCTCGTATTCTTCTTTGGAATGAATTCCAGTGTAGCCGGCTTTCCCAGGCTGCCATAACTATAAAAAACTCGTGAAGAGTGCATCTTAACTTCTTGAAGTCATTGGGGTTTTGAACCTTACCTAATATAGGGGAAGAGAAAAAAAATTAAAGTTCCTGATCCTCTACGAATATATATAGTGGACATCTGAGGGGTATTGTTTATTGATTATTTGGAAAATCTTTTGCTACAAAAAAGTAATACCCTAAACATTGACCGAATTTCCACTATAACATGCACACAAGCTAGCTCTTTACATAATGTGTTAGTGAAGTCTGAACTTACAAATCTCAAGTGAATTTTCCCCTCATTTTTGTCTTGCAATCAGCATAGCAATTGAAAATGTAGGAAAATTCTATCAATATTGTGTAGAATCTCAGAATTCAATTCTGTCATATTCTATAGACTTCATATACAGGAACACTTTGGAATCAGTAAACTCTAAATAGAACAATGAAAGTTGTACATAAATCATGAAATTGTGACTCTATGTCACACAAAATATAAGGTAAATTGCTACATGATATTGAAAGTCCACTCAATAATGAATGGGATTTCAAGAAAAAAAAAGTGTCTCTCCTCCAAGAATCAGCTTCTACACAGCTGTTGAATAGTAGCGGCTTAATATTGCAGCACTGAATTTATTCAGTGTCACCTTCTCACATACATTTGTTTCTTCCTAGTTTCCCTTAAAGTCTGCTTGAATAGGAAAGCATTTTTTGTTTCTCACCAATCTCAAGATATATTAGCAGCCTCTTGACTTTACTAGAGCTGTTAGCCCTCTGTCCTGACCTTCTGCTTTCATAAAACACTAAAATAATTGGCTCTTACTACACAAGGTAAATGTGGAATTCCTAAAAAATCAATAGTTATTTCCTTAGGTTGCTGCATGCCTACAGCTCTGTCCAACACTATGGTGGATTTTTGAAAGGATGAGAAAGAGGCAGAGTTAAAGCTGGCATTCTAGTCTGACTTCTCAGTAAGGAAGACAAAAAGAGTGAGAGAGGGAAAAAAAAAAAAAGCAGGAAAAGAACCGTTGAATGGACTGTCTTCACTTAAGAGTGGGAAAAAATGAAAACTGCCTGAAAACTAGAAACACTCATTTATCTCTATGAATGTTTCCTTACCTTTCCTGACATCCATTACTTCTCCCTTCACAAGTCTTATTTACCCAATCAGGACCTCACAAGCCCATCTAGCATCAAATTCTCTCTCTCTCGTTTTTTTTTTTGTTGTTGTTGTTTTTTTTGGTACCGGGGATTGAACTCGGGTCCTTGTGCTTGCAAGGCAAGCGGCGGAACCACTGAGCTAAATCCCTGGCCCTAGCATCAAATTCTTAATTGAAACAGTAAGTGCAATTGTGAGGTTAACATAGCAAAGATGCTTTGCTTCAGTTCAATTCAATAAGCATTTATTAACCACCTGCTATGTATGCCATTAACAATGCGCAGACCTGCTGGGAGATAATAGTATATCAATGGGTGCATACACACCACACCTAACAATCATATAAGGATCATATAACGTGAAGAATGTTCCCCCTGAAAACTGCTATGAAAGCAGAAAGTAGTGCTTCGTTCAGCTAACGGCTTTCAGGATGTACAGACATCAAAACATTCACAATTTAAAATACAAACAAATATTTTGTTACATGAGGTATTTATATCACAACTGATTATTTCATATGGACGTTTATTTTCTGAATATCTCATCTGCTTCCATGAAAAATACTTAAAGATCTTTGAAAATTACTTATAACAAGATGTTTACTGTCATTTACTATATTTTAATACTTATCATTTTTATAAGACAATAAAGTACAATAAAATGGTTCAATGGATACATCTTAGCCTTAGATAACTTAGTTATCTTAGCCATCACATGAAATCAATACACCTAAGCAAATGTAATTAACCAAAGCATGCATTAGCATTTCCCAGGTTTAAATTTATAGACCATTAATGAGTTAAGAAGCATATAATAGGTCCAATTCTTCAATCTAGTTCAAAAGAAGTGTGAGTCACATACTCACACTGAGAACTCAAATCCATATTCCTTGTGACAATGTCACAAAAGGTCATTTTAGCCTTTAATTAAGGAATATAAACATGAAAAAAAATTTTAAATAGAAACCAATATTGTGCAATCAAGTTCTCCTTTTTATTTCCTGATTCTTCCTTCTCGCCTACAGAACCTGAGTAATCAGGCAACAGATGCTTCTATATATTTACAAAATACTTTAGCAACTTTATCACCAAGAACTTAATATTATATTTATATAACTAAATTTTTTGCAAAAATGAAATATAAAGTGCAGGTATATTCCTGCAACCTAATAGAGTTTTTTTAAATGAATCTGAGGGCCAGGAATTTAGCTCGGTGATTCCACTGCCTGCCTTGCAAGCGGAAGGTCCCATGTTCGGTCCACAGTACCAAAAGAAAAAAAAAAATGAATCTGAAATCATGGTTATTATCTTCTCATTGAAGAAAAAGTAATTTAACAAAGCTGAGGTATGTTTAATAAAAATTAAATAAAATTGAAGTGCCTGATGTAATTATTTAAGGCTCTTTGATTTTAATCATGATAATTAATCAATTCTTTCACCCAGATAAATTTATCGTTTTTTATTTCTCAGGAGTAAAAATGGTTTAAAGAAGAGGAAACTGACTAAGTAAGTTTCTCTTGATGTTTTATTTTAGAAGATTTTTGTCATAAGGATCTTAACTTTCCAAATTAAAAAGGCTGTGTGTCTTCAAATAGAAGTGTGCCTGTGGAAGAGGTAAGTGTGTGTGAAAGGCAGGCATAGTGTATATTGGTGTATCCACATGAGGATGGGTGAACAAGGAAGAAGTTTACCACAGAAGCCATGACAAGAATAAGGCAATTCTCACCTTATGAGATCTGTAAAAAAAATGCATTGTTCAGCATCATGCAAGTCTTGCAAGAGGAAGAAGGATAGATTTCCAAATTTAAAAATCTACTGTTTAGATATATCAAAAGTGTACAAAAACCCTCACCATTTTGCAATTTCAAATCCTGTTTATTTCAGAGAATGGCTTTTACTCTAGTTGATGTTATAATAGATACTTTGTCTCAGAATACCTGTATAATAAATAGGAAAGATTTTTACTCTAGCTAGCCCATGGTCTTATCTACTGAACTGTTAAGTCATCAGAATAAGCCCTCACCTGATTTCAAAAGCCTATTATATGCTCAGCTCCAGGCCTTTTGTTAGCTAGAAGGCTACGTATAAGGAGAACAGTTTTTTTAAAATAGAGTTCATTCCTGATACATTTTTAGGATAAAACATTGGTACATTAGTATTAGGAATGTCTAGGGACTTCAGCCAAGCCTATGACATCCATGCAAATGGGGAAAAAAGTCATGGAGTAATCCGCGATATGATCCAAAAGAAAATTGATGTCAAAATACTTCTATTTAGCCTTGAATGACTTATAATTCTATGGCACATGAGTTGGGGCGGTTTTTCCTAAGCCTGTTTCACATCAGTACGCATTGCACTGGCACAGACCAGTTGGAATAGGAGAGAACAAGAGCGGCCTCTGAAGAGGAAGGGTACTGTCGCCTGTTTCACAGAAACAGAAATGCTTTGTTGCCCAAAGGCTATTGGTTGGGTTCTCAAGAGAGAGGCATAAAATACAGCATCCAGAGGACAGGGTTTGGAGACCAAAATAAAAAAAGGGAGACTAACTTATGAGTTTTCTCTCCCAAGACCCAGGCAGAGACATGCAGAAGCCAGACATAAACAAAAGATTTGCAGTGCTTAGGTGTGGTAGGTCCTGCCTGCTAGCCCCGAACCAGTAACAAACCAGCTTCCTCTTCTCTTCTCATTTTCCACCTAGTCCTCCTTCAGCTCCAGAAGCCATTTCTTAAGAGGACTGCCCCCTCTTTCCCATTTGACTTCTTTCCTTTTCCAAACACCCCACTATCCCCTTGTCCCATGGCTCTCCTTTATTATCTCCACTGATTTTCATCCCATCCCTCTCCTTCTCTTGACCCGTTCTGCAATGCCCACTCTCTCCAGTTTTCCTTCTCTCCTCTTCTCCCCGTGTTCCCATGGGTTCATTCATCCTTCCTGGCCCTTCTTCTGTCTTCTTTTCCCCTCTGAGTCTTGATTTTTGCTTCTACTGACCCAGAAGTATTTTCTCTGATTGGCCCTCTCAATTCATGCTCTCATTTTCCTGATAACAACATGAAAACTGAGAATGTTAAATCCAACTTTAAGATGAGTGCTCTCCCTGGCGAACAACATCACCCCGAGAGTGCAGTTCATTACTAATGGAGTTCATTCTAGGATGGGAGCCTCACCTTCAACCATTCCTTTGGAAAATTAACAAGTTTGAAGTAGGCCCTGCATTCAGTCCCCACCACCAAGGAAGGAAGGAAGGAAGGAAGGAAGGAAGGAAGGAAGGAAGGAAGGAAGGAAGGAAAAAAAGAAATCTACTAAAATCTTCATATATTAATCTATCAGATTAGCTACCACTTTAAACAAACATCTACTGAATACTGTGTATTTGCTAACCCATAAGACCACAGATAGATGATATAAATTGAGTAGCATGTCACAAATTTAAGGGCAAATTCAACTGTATGGACCCTGCCAAGGTGGAAAGGCCTGAGTTAGGGGACAGAATATGGCAAATTGGGAGTGGGCTCCAGAAGTGATAAGCAGCCACAGAGAACTACAGAATGCACAATTTAAGACTTATTCACCAAACAGAAGGACAGAGGTGGGTCATTCTGCTACAGATGTAGAAACATACACCTAGGTAGTGTTACTTAGTTGTACCTCTGAGCTATTTCAGTATTTTTATAAACCTGGAAGCCCTGAAATACAGCTCACTCAGAGGAAACCCAGGGAGATTTCTAGACAAGGCCTGTGATGCAGCCAGCACTGCAATTCCTGATACTTGTGAATCTGTTTAAAATCATGAGGCTCTCTATAAACTATATTTCAGTCTTATGAGGTAGATGGGACTATAGTATCTTATTAATGACAATGATAAATCTCTGAAGTGTTAGGTAATTCTCCAGAATCACATTGTAAATAAAGAATGGTAAACCCTAATTCAAACAGGTCTTTGAAATTTAATCCTTTATTTTTCCCAATTGGCAAAGTTTTTTAAAACCATACGCACAGAATCATCTATATCCATATCTATATATTCATATATTGGCATATGTAATATTTTGTTGCTATAATTAAAGTCAAGTATAATTCTAGAAATTTCTCCTATCTTCTGGAAGTTTGATGTATATGCTCCTCTTTTTAATTGCAATATATGAGAAACTGGTAACTTTAACCAAAAACCAAACAAAATTGAGTGTTAACCTTTGAGAAGTAAAACTTCTATTTTCCCCAAGGAACATGTGCATATTTGAGAAGTATGGTGATAAATAATATATAATAGTCATCAATAGGATTTTTAAAACATACATTTCTTTGTGTTTGGCAAAGCCCGGTTCAACTGGATGACTTTGATTCCTACATCAAGGATATGGCCAAAGACTCTGACTATAAATTTTCTCTTCAATTTGAGGTGAGTCGGGTACAGCATTTTCTACCTTCTCTAAAGAGTGGGACATGGACTGGTCGGGTGTGTGTTGGGGTCTTTCCCCTGCTCACCAGGCCGGCTTGTGATGTGGCTCTGTAATAGGTGAGGTCAGTGGTCAGACTTTCAGGGCTAGCTCAAAGCAAGGGTCATGTGCCCTTGGATACCAGGTCAGATCTTGGATGGCAAAAATGAAAGGAAGGAAAGAAGAGATGCAGGTATTGAGGGGACCAGCCCTAGCTGAAGGAGAAGCCATCACTGAAAACCAGGGAAATCAAGAATAAGGACCAAAAAGCAAACTGAGGCCTGAGGACAATTTCCTTTTCCAGAAATTTTTAGTATGACTCTTGGGTGACTTAGGCCAGAGGAGGGGTAGATGGCAACTGAAATTCCCTCCCTTTGTCTCCTGGGCATGTAACAGCCTAGGGTAAAGCTTTCAGAGCTATAATGTTCCTGGCATGCTTCCTAATACTTCTTTGCGCAGTTTTATTTTCTTTCCTTGGAAAAATACTGGAGAGAGAGGGTTATGCATGATTTGTGTTAAAAAAAAAAAAAGGGGAGGGGAGCCAATACCTCAGGTTTTTTTCCTGAAGTATCTTATTGTAGTCAGCTTTCTCATTGCTGGGATACCATACACCACACCCGCAATGTAAGGAGGAGAAGTTTAATTTGTTCATGGTTTCAGTCCATGGTTTCAGTCCTGCTGGCTCCAAATCAGAAGCACCATGGCAGAAGGGTGTGGGGAGCAAAGCTGCTTTCTTCATGACAGCCAGGAAGCAGCGCATGGTAAGAGCACCAGAGGGGAAGGGCTCTTAAAGACACACTGACCCAGCCCACCCAGACACACCCAGGAGTGTACTTTGCTAACCAGCTAGGCGTTTCTTAACCCAGTGAAGTTGACATTTAAGGATTAATGGTCACACATACACACTGCTTTGTGTCTAAGACCATGTGTCAGAGGGACAGAAATGAGAAAGTGGGAAGACTAGCATCTGTCTTCACTGTTCTTCCCATAGAGCTCACAGCTCATCTTCAGATTCCCACCGTGTGGCTCAATTGGTCAGTGATTCAGTATAAGGAACAAGGGAAAGTGATTTTTCTAAATCCTATAGTTTCTTTTTAAACTGCAACTTTTTTGTTTAATTATAACATCTGCTTTTGCTTCATTCTTTTTTGGTTTTTTGCCTCATTCATTTTATTCACTTTTTCTTTCCCCTAATCAGCCAAATACAGCTTTAGACTACAAAAAAGTAACAACAGTCCTGGCGTGGGCATTCTTATGGGGAATTTGACGATGTGAAGAATCTTATACATTATCAAATACAAAACACCCTAATTACCATGCATGTGGTGAGAAATTCCACACACAGCCTGCTCAGTTATCCACTGCCTGCAGGTACATAAGAAATTGTAGATCTACACCAAATATTATTTCTCAAAGAGAGAAATTCCATTTGAATGAGATCTAAAGTGAAGTTGGCATTACAAAAAAGTATATCAATGAAAAAAGAATATTTTTATAAGAAAGCAACAGCTGGATCCAGTGGCACAGTCTGTAATCCTAGCTACTTGGGAAGCTAAGGCAGAAGGAGCACAAGTTTGAGGTCAGCCTGGACAAATTAGTAGATCCTATCTCAAAAACTAAAGAGGGATAGGGATGTAGCATCCCTGAGTTTAGTCCACATACAATCACATACACACACACACACACACACACACACACACATGCACACACATCAAAATTCTACAATAAACAATTGGGTGATTCTGATAATGGGGATGAAAATGATGGTGTAACTACACTTCCAATCTTATTAAAGCCACATTTTCTTAATTACTTGAGATGATATGCCACTGGTGGCCCAGCTAGGATCATTAACTCCCCTGGGAACTCACGCTTTACGCTATCAAACCCAAATGTAACTATTAAAAACTGTGTTTCTGAATTGCTTCATTGTTTTAAAAATTCAATGTCATTTTCTGGTAAAAAGAAAAAAAAATGTTTTGGTTGTGACAGAAACATGATTCAAATTAGTTTAGAACAAAGGGAAAGGAGATTTATTCAAAGAATAGTCATTTATCTTAGAGAGCCAAAGGAGGGTTTAGTAGCTAAGCCATGGGATAGCAAGGAGCGAGGTGCTGGAACCAGGGCCAGATCCCCATCCGCCATAGGGACCCTGCTTTTCACGTCTCATTTCTGCTCTTCTCTCCATCTTCACTTTCAGTGCAAGCCAACTTCTTTCCTGTAGTAGAAAATGTGGCCACCAACAGCCCCTGAGCATCACATCCTCTTGTTTTCACGGTTTGCAGAGAGAGCTATTGGTTCTCCCATTCATAGTTTGAAAATTGGCAGGGGGTGTTTGGATGAACCTTTCTGGGTCATGGCACCTCCTCAAACCAGCTGTAGCCAAGGAGGGCAGAGCCACATGAGCCGTTACTAGAAGAGTTAATGTGGCTAAATTCACCAAACCAAAAAAGAGGAGAGCATTATTTTCTGGAAAAGAGAGGGCATGGGGAGAACCAAGCAAACGATTTGCATGTGAACTTTACCCTAAAACATCAAAACCAGAATTATAGATGTTAAGTGCTCAGTGTTCAATTTATCATATACGTGAAGACATACATTCTAGACATAAATGAACCCATTTAGTTTTATTTCATAGGATTTGTAAGAAAAGTAGGAATGAACTAAACTAGAAGTCTAAAACCTCGGCCTCATTATCATTTGCCACTAATTAATATAGGGAAAAAATCACACTTTCTCAAAACTTCCATTTCTTTAAATGTAAAATGGGTTTTTTGAACTATATCAGTAGTTCTCAACTGAATGAGTACCCGTCAGTCCCCTAGAGGGAGTTTTGTGTGGTGTGGGTGTATTTTCAGTGTTATAATAGCTGAGCAGAAGGGTACTAATAGTATTTAATGGGAGAAGGACAAGGATGTTCTTCAGTGAGTATGACAATGAACAATTGTCCCTGGCCAATAGTGTTCCATTGAGAAATGTTGGATCAAATGTGGACAGATTCAACAAAGCTTTATTACTCATGTGTATTAGTCAGAGTTCTTCAGAGAAACCAAAAGGATTTGTAAATATTATAATTTATAACACAAAGATAGATATAGATATACAGAGAGAGGAATTGTTTTATGGTTTATATGATAGTGGAAATGGGCAAGTCTGAAATCTGTGAGTCAGGCTAGAGACCCAGGGAAGAGTTGCAATTACAGTCTTGAGTCTGAAGGCAGAGGGAGGCAGTACCTGTCTTTTCTTCTCTTGCATTAACTTTATGGAGGGTAACCTAATCTACTCAAAGTTTTCTGATCAAATGTTCAACACTTTTTAAAAGTAGTGATTTCCAGACTGGTGTCTGACAGCAGGCATTTGGGCACTGTTGCCTAGCCAAGATGGCACATGAGATTAACCATCACTCCTTGGCTTAAAGAAGCATTTAGGATTTTTACTTATTATAAAGCTGTTTTCATAAAGCTTTATTCTTGGGCCATTATTAGTCATATATGTAATTGATTTTGTGCCAAGTTCTTATATTACATGCATGTTCCAGGGTAATGACTACAATTCTCTCTATATAGGCATCTTTTAAGCCACAGGCATAGACCATTTTAGAGCAATATTTGCTCAAGCAGTGACCCACTGGTATCACTTCCCTTTTCACTTGGCAACTCTCACTCACCACATCCTCAGGTTCAGTGTCAGAGTTTCGCATCTATCTTCAAAGGAGCATTGTGCTTGATTTCTGGGTGAATAGCAGACCTTTCACAAGAAAGTCTTCACATATTGATAGATACTAAGGCTTAAGGGAGAAAATGTTTCCAGCTCTAATGGAAACCCAAGAAGGTACAGAGATGGTTGAAGCAGCTGAGCCTGGCTAAATCCAGTAGCTGCACAGATATTTGTTCTGCTTATATGAATATTTACTACTTGCATTCCTTTTGATATTGACATTGAAAGATCACACTTGCATTGAGAAATTGCATCATTTATAAGCATTATGCAAATTGAAACTAATGTCTGTATTTACATATATTACCAATACAGCTATAAGTCATACATGAAGCTATATGGGTTGCTAATTGGTGTTGACTGAATAAATTCCCTTTTCACTCTGCATCTCATTTTGGATCTGCTGGAAAGATTGATTATCCTTCTGACAAAAATATACATATTTTCTTAAGGAAGTTTGAGACACGGGGATTAAAATCAATCAGTTCCTCATTTCTGACATCTCATATGAGAAGGGCTTGGAAGAAACAGACTTCAGAACTTGAAGTGTGAGTGCCCACAAGACATACCACATGTTGCTCTTTCTGCCATTAATTTTGGGGATTCTGACTGACTAGCATGTTAGTAAAGGTCTTCACCATTTTTATTGGGAAATGTGGCTACAAAGGTCCCAGGGCTCCTTGGCTGGTGGCTGCATCACTCCCGTCTCTGCCTTGGTGTCTACATGGCCGTCTCCTCTTCTCCAGGACGATCTCACCTTATGGTCCTGTGTTGATTACTTTCCTCTTGTTGCTAAGACAAAATATCTGACACCCAAAGTTAAAGGGGGGAAGATTTATTCAGCTCGCGTTTTGTAGAGGTTTCAGTCCATAATCAGCTGGCCCCAAGACAGGGATGACAAACAGGCATGCAGAAGAGAAATAACATAGTGAGCACAAAGTAGCAAAAGCAACAAGGCAACCTCAACAGCATCTTTCTCCCCCTTTTATCCCATCCAGACTACCAGGATTAGGGTGGTACCAAACCAATCACTCATGTATAGTGATTTAGTAATCACATGCCCTTAATCCCAGCATCACACATTCCAGATTCAGCCACTTCTGAAAATGACTGCATGAGCTTTAGGGGAACGTCTAGACACAAGCCATAACAGATCCTTAATGACTTAATCTGCAAGGACCCCTCAGAACAAGGTTGCATTCACAGATTCTGGGGCTCAAGATACAAATGTCGTTTAAGGGATCAGCACTCAACCCACTATAGATGACTATGTAGTCTGGAAAAAAATAAAGACGATAGATTACATTAGAAACAAAACTGGCAAAAGGAAATTCAAAAATGATTTATGTTGGTTTCAGGCCATCACTCCAATACTTTGTCTTTATGAAGATTTAAGCCTCTGGTATTTCCATATGGTTGGAAAGAAAATAACTCCAAAGCTACTGAACTGGAAATTTAGTCTTTGATTTTCCACTTAGTGACAGTCTAAATTACAAAGACTGCACAGCACTTTGTGTATGCATGCAGTTCCGGCTTTGCTGCAATTCCCAATTGGCAATTTACATTTATAGTGTTCAGCCAATTAAGCCTCTCTTATCAACTCAGGGCATTTACAGCGGGGAGGCAACACCCAATTAAAGTTCTATCAGTTAGGCAGCTTCCATATGTGAAGCAACTCTCAGCCTCAATCTGTTTCCACCAGTTTTTCTGTATCTAAGGCCTTTTCCTGTGGCTTATCAGTCTGTCCCCAAAGCAGGCAACAGGAGGGGGGCCCTTGCTGCTCTGCTAGCACAAATGGCAAAGAAAGGAGAAATTGTGGAGCCAGAAAAAGCAAAACATGCAAAGAATCATAGCAGAAGCATTTCACAGTCAGTATCAATAGTGCTGCATTAGTATTTGTTGAACGTAACTATTCTATTTAATAGTCACTATAAACCAGTCAGTTGTAGAGTGATTATTCGCCTTATTTACCAAAAATTAAACTGATATTAAGGAGAACTGAGCTACCTTTTCAAGCCCAGACAGTTTAAAATGTGCACCACAATAAGCAAAATAAATTTGACAAATTATCTATAAAGGCACTTTCTAAGAAGATACATTTATTAAAAAATTTAAGCAAAGGAAGCATCTTTAAATAAGCTTGTAGCTGCCTAAACTAACCTAAAAATGACACTATTTTGGCTGAAGTTTGCTATAAGTAAATTGTGTTTCTCACAAAAACAATATAGTCAGCCTTTGGGAACCCTTTAAATTGAAATAGCTATAAAATAAGGGTGACAATTTCTGCTTGAAGGCCCTGGTGTACAAGATTTTTGTTGGAAATGGGGGGGGGATCTAATTTTATGAGTTGATGATCAAACTTGACATCATTTGTCTTTAAGAATGACCTTAACTGTCCAAAAGTGTAGGGGTGGTGAGAGGAGAAGGGGAAAGGAAAGAAGGGAAAAGAAAAATTATGAGAAAAGAAAAAAATGGAAACGAAGTCTATGTAAATAGGGAAAGGTAGAGGGGGTGAAGGGCGCACAGGTAATGGGGAAAAAAATAAGAACCAAGATACATCATGTACAGGTACAAGCACCCAATGATAAATGTAAACGTATTGTATACCTAAAATGTACCAATAAAAGAATTTAAGAAAAAAAAAAAGAATGACCTTAACTTAAGCCAAAAAGCTTGAGATTTGGTGACTTTGTGAAGCTTGTAATGATGTAGGTGAGTGCAACTCCAGTGACTACAGGGCTGTAGCCCAAGGCTATTAGACACAAATGAAGTTGCTAGCAAGAACTTTCTATTTGAAAACTGCAGAAGACAAAAGAACTTGTTTCCTAATTTCTAAGAGTGCTTCACTTGAGATCCAAAGGGCATGAAGCAGATTCTCCTTTTCAGTCTCTCAGAGCATCATTTAATGTCTCCAATTCCATTCCAAAGTCTTTGAAAGACTCCAGAAGTCTTCCCCCAAGGAAGTATTCTTCCAGCTACAGTTCCTGGAATTAACAGTTGGGAGAAATTATGTGAAGTAAAACTTGTGAAGAATATTAACCTTCTATATGAGTGTAAATAAAAATTTATAGCAAGTGGCTTCTCTTACTACCTCACTTAGTAGTTTTATAGAAAGATGCATACTACATAGGTAATCCCATTTTTGTCCCAATTAGATTTATTGTTTACTAATAGTTCTCCAAAATTGGTACCAAAATGTAACTATATGTGCTAGACTGGCTGTACACTGTACAATCCCACTGAGCACCATTCACATAGACTACACTGTGAACAGTGCCTCCCACAAAGGATTGTGATGATTGTCTATTTACAGAAAAATTGTCCTATCACTGCATTTTTTATAATGAGATTTATAAAAATACTTGTAGGCAAATATTTGCACATTCCTACTTTCATTGAAGGGTTTGCCTGAACACTACTGATTCATCTTTAATTTTGAAGTTTCGTTACCAGATAGTTAATGACCATTGACCCTATATTTTCTAACCTGAAGATTGTTCTCCATTCATTAATCCTTACTCTCCTTTATACTACTTTCTCTAAGGCTTATTGTCTACAGGGAAAATGTCTACATTCCCTCACAGAACAGAAAATATTTATGGATCTTGCATTAATTTTAGTTGCCCTATTCTTCTACAAACCTGGAAAGCATTTCTGTTTCTAAACTTTCCACAGCCTGAGTGTTTGTTACATACATCTTCTCTGAATGATCACCTAGCTGCTCAAGGCATTGGTGTGTTGTGCTAGCAGCCCTTACTGCAAGCCTGCTTTGAACAGACAGCCTAAGCATCTCCCAGGCCCGCAGCAACATTTACACATGCAGGACAGCTGGAGCAGCTCTACCTCAGGCAGGGGTCAGAGTGAGATCTGCCCCCTGTGTCTCCTCATTCTGGGACTCGCAGCTTCCATTGGCATGACCTCACAGCAGGAACATAAGTACAAGAGGCCAAAACAAACTAAGCAAGTGCATCAAAAGCTTCTGATTGGACATGAGCTCTACCCAAGTTCCCTGGGAAAGCAGGTTGAGAGCAATGGAGGGCAGGAGCGTTCTCTGCCCCAAAAGAGAGCTACCACAGCAGCATGCAGCAAGGATGTCCTAGGATTCCATTGGATGCAGCAAGTGGGAAATTATTCAGTGTGGACAAAAAATTCACTGTAAACAATAAATCCATGCAAACCTCGCAATGTAGAGAAATCTGAAATCTATTTTCTCTTGTTTGCAGGAGTTAAAGTTGATTGGACTGGATATTCCACACTTTGCTGCGGATCTTCCACTGAACAGATGCAAAAACCGCTACACAAACATCCTACCATGTAAGATGCTCAACAGTGCTGGTTTTAATCGTGTCGCCTAAAGGCCAAAGGATTGTTATTGCAGATTAGTTAGTTTCACCCATGTCCATCAAGGCCCAGCAGCAGTCTGAATCTCAAGGCCATTTCTGCCTTTCCAGTGATCTCACTAGTACTTTGTTGCCATTTATTCCTATCAGATGGAGGAAGATTGAATTACTGTTTTTAAATGACTTGAAAGAAAAAAAAATGACCCTTTGGAGATCAAGTGTTTGCTAAATTAGGAATCAGTAGCAATGGGAAAAGGCAAAGTTTTGTTGTTGCTTGGCATCTTGTAATAAAAAGCAAAGCTCAAGAAAGGAAGGAATATAAAGTAATCACAGGATGATTAAAATCTATTTCCATGTAGATTCATCTTTTCATTCTGCTGCACTCTAAGTGGGCTAAGAATGAGAAAATGGGGAGAGGGAGGCTGACAATCTCTAGAAAGAGAACTCAATCCTTGATATGGCTTCTAGATAGTTAGGTAATATTACAATACTAACATGTCACATGCAAAGTTCAGAATCAACTCTTTGCATTCAAAGTCCATCTTAGAGAGATCTTGTCTCAAAATAAATAGTAGAAAAAGCTAGAAATGTAACTCAGTGCAAAGGCCCTGAATTTAATCTTCAGTACCAAAAAAAATTAATGATCAAATCATTTAAAGAAAGAAATTAACAACAGAATGAACTCAAGGAGAATAATAAGAAGAAAAATAACAAGCTGAAATCTACAAAGTTTAAAATAGATACAATAGAAAAGATAGCCCTTTTCTATTACATGATTTCACTTGTATCTATAATGCACAAAAAACAACTCAAATACAAAAAAACAGAAAAGAGAATAGTGGTTGAGTGGGTGGGGAGATATAGGTCAAGGGCACAAAGTTACAGTTATGTAGAAATGAACAAGTCTAGACAATGTACACCATGGGGACTGTACTTAATAATATTACACGGGATACTGAAAATCTGAGAGCAGATTTTGGGTACTTTTACCCAAAAAACAAAGATGATTATGTGAGATGACCAATACGTTAATTTTCATGGTTGTAGTAATGATATATATATACACATACACACACGCATGCACACACACACATATACATATATATCATGTTGTACATTTAAATGTACAGAATAGAAAATAGGGAAGGCTAGGGTGTAATTCAATGGTAGAATACATGTTTAGCATGTCAATGCCCTATGCTCCATCCTCAACACTAAAAAATAAAATAAATTAATATAAACAAAAATTTATTAAAAGGCCCATGCACCTCTCTAGGTTTACCCAAGGTAGTTCTCTGCATGCCCCTAGGTGAAATGGAAATCAGAGATATTTTAGTTCTAGTAAAAATTCTTTACAACCTCCCCAAAACATGAACATATTTCTTCCAAGAACAGAAGAGCTAATGTAGAGAAAATAGTAGTTGGGAGACACTGATGTATTTGTTGAAAGAAGCAACTAAGATTGATAAATGCCTAAAATACTGAGCAACAATAAATTATCTACCTACTCTGTCACTGACTGATTTGACTTGATTGGGTAGAGAGTCAACATCATTTTTTCTTCCATCCTCATTGTGTTTATATATTCCTTCCTTATCCTTTACAGATGACTTTAGCCGAGTGAGACTAGTGTCCATGAATGAAGAAGAGGGTGCAGACTACATCAATGCCAATTATATTCCTGTAAGTAGCAAAAAACCAGGCATCCAAATGCTGAAAAGCATAGGCCAGCTAGTGGAAGATTATTACAGCTAAATGGATGTGCCAAAGAGTCAAAAAGAGAGCTCTTCATACCAAACTTGAAGAATAGTTTCCATTATTCTGTTTCAGAATAAATAGGGTACAACAACTCATAAATCAGCAATGTTCAGATTTCTTTCCAATGGGATAATGAAAAAGAAGTAGATAATTATGCTAGAGAGCACCTTTCTTGTGCTTACATTTCAGTTACTGCAACCAAACTCAAAGGCCTCCATGCAAACACCTGTGGTTTTAAAATACCCATAAAGATAGGGGTTGTTGTCATAAAAAGGTATGGATATGATTTTATAGGCTCACAGAAAACAGTGCTTAAAACTCACACAGACCTATATAGTCAATTGCTCTGATGGCCTTTTTGATCCAAAAAAGGAAAAACATTACGTAGGTGTGTGGTCCTTTGCCAGTTTTGTCAACCAATTGTCAGTTTTCCCCCCTGGTGTAAAACAACATTTGATGTTGACTGTGGCTGGTTAAATAACTTTATCACTTATCTTTCAGGGATACAACTCGCCCCGAGAGTACATTGCCACCCAGGGGCCACTGCCTGAAACCAGAAATGACTTCTGGAAGATGGTCCTACAGCAGAACTCTCAGATCATTGTCATGCTCACTCAGTGTAATGAGAAAAGAAGGGTGTGTACCTAATCAGACTGTCCCTGCTTCACAGCAACATCTGCCCCAGCTACTGCCACTGACCAAGTGTTCACTGGGCAGCAGAAACTACCATACTGTTTGATTTTCCATTCTCATGATGGTCCTTCAGAAGCAACTGCCTTTGCTTTCCCTAAATGAATTTAAGTTCTTCCCTTGCTTGTTTGTTTTAAAGGCTTGTGTTGTTTTCACTTCAGGTAAAATGTGACCATTACTGGCCTTTCACGGAAGAACCCATAGCTTATGGAGACATCACCGTGGAGATGATCTCAGAGGAAGAACAGGATGACTGGGCCCGTAGACACTTCCGGATCAATTATGTAAGTCTCCCCGTGGGAATACAGGCACATCACTAAGCCCACCCCCACCCTCAATTTCCAGAGACCAACCCACCACCATGTGTGACAAAGAGCACTTCAAACTTTGCGGCTCTGCCTCCTTTGAGAGAAAAATTCCACTTTTAGTGGGTTGTTTCCCATTTTGTAAAGGGTGGTATGGTTGAAGTGGCTGGCCTGGAGGGCCAAGCAGATGAAATAAAGTCTGCACTAGTCCATCTCAAATTAGCCTAGGGTAATAGAAGACTGCTGATCATCGCTTACCAAGCACAATTGAGGACAAAAGGGTTCTCATTATTTATATGAACCATATATACATTAGTGTATACAAGGCACACTTAAATTATAAACACTTAAACCATGATTTGCTAGTCTGGGTTTGGGTTTTTCTTTCCTTATTTTGTTTTGGTTTGGTTTTAATTATTTAGAAGGTACTTCTAGTCCTTATTATTCATAGTTCCATATTGCTCTTGAATGCTATTGATTTCTAATTGTTATAACATCAGAAAAGTCTATTTTTCTTGTCTCTGTTGACAAGTCTTTGAGCCTGCTGAATATTTCTGTGTCAGGCTTAGGTGCTAACTTCAGTCAAGCTACTGTCTACTTATAAACAGTTCATAGAATATAGAGCTTTTATTAGCATTGTCTACTAAAACATGCTGTTGTTGAAGGCAGAATTTAATAGGAGAGCTCTCATTGATGTTGATGTGTTCTTCCCTGAATAGAAACAGCCTTCCTAATGGTATAGACTAGGGACGGCAAACTGCAGTCTGCAGAACAAATTGACCCACAAATGATTTCTATACTTTTTAATAACTGAAAAAATTTAAAGAACATGTCATACATAAATTATGTGAAATTCAAATTTCAGTGTCCATAAAGAATACTTTATTGAAGCACAGGCCTTGTTTATGCATTGGCTATGGCTATTGAGTGACATCAAGCTTGAGTAGCTGCAACCCAAACTGCTCAATTGTGTTAGTTACTTTTCTTGTTGCTGAGACAAAATACCCAACACCCAAAGTTAAAGGAAGAAAGGTTTATTGTTGCTAACAGTTTGTAGAAGTTTCAGTTCATAATTGGCTGTATTCAAGGCACAGAGGCATAGCAGAGAGGCATCACAGAAGAGAAACAGTTCATGGTAGGCAGAAGGCAGCCAAGCAGCAAAATACCAAAGCAGCAGCTGCACCCTGCCTCTCCCTCTTATGCCTTCCAGGCTACCTGCCCTTTGGGTGGTGCCACCCACACCCAGAGTAGGCCTTCCCATTATCCACACCCAGAACTCTGCCAAACTAATCAGTGGACTAAATTAGTAATCACATACCCTTAATCCCAGCATCACACACCTAAGATCCAGCCACCTCAGAAAAGCTTCATCTATGACCACATGAGGCTTTGAAGGAACATCCAGACACAACCCAGAACAATGAGCTTACTATCTGCCTTTCTCCGGAAAGAGCTTGTTGACCCTTGGTATAAATAATGGAAACACTGCCCATATCAGTAACAACGTGAGCATTGATAACTATGCCTTTATTGATGATTACAAAAACTGATCACTTACACTTTTTTTCCCCATTAATTTTATTGGTACATTTTAGGTATAAAATACAGTTACATTCATCATTGGGATCTTGTACCATTACATGAGTATCTTGGTTCTTATTTTTTTTCCCTTCCCTTGCCCTCCCTTCACCCCCTCCACCCTTCCCTATTTGCAAAGACTTTGTTTCCGTTTTTTTTCTCTTCTCATATTTTTTCCTTTCCCTTTTTTCCCTTCCCCTACCCCTCCCACTTCCCCTGCTCTTTAAGACCTTTTCTTCCTGTTACACAATATCAGTTATACATTTTTTAAATTACAATATCAACATCTAGGAGACATTACCACAGATTTTACAGAATTTAAAAGGATATAGAAAGCATATTTCAAAAATCTGTTTTGAAATAAATTTGACAACTTCTAAGAAGTACCTTGGAAGACAAATTAATGAAACTAACTCTGGAGGAAATATAAAATTTGAATAGCACCTATTAAAGAAAGTATATTCCTAGCTTGAAAACCTACCTATATGACAACAGCAGGCTCATAAACATTTTAACTGATAAATTATATCAAACAATTAAAGCAGAAAAAAGAAAGAACATTTCTCCCCTCATTTTAGGAACTCAACATTGTGCTAATCCTAAAACTGGATAAAGATAATAGAAGAAAAAAGTATGAACATAAATAGAAATTTGTTTAACAAAACAAACTATTGGAAGTCAGATCTGGCAGGATGTAGAAAGTGGTTTTGTTATAGGGATGGCAGTGCTGGTTCAGCATTGGAAGATCCACCCCCAAAAGTCATCATTTTAACAGAGGAAAGGAGAAAGCCATATGATCCTGTCACTTGTTGGAGAAAAAGTATTGGACTAAATTCCACAGCTGTTCATGGCAAAAGCTATCAGGAGACTGGAAGTAGAACAGAACCTTCTCAACAGATTAAAGACATGTACTCCATACTTCCAGCGAGAACGCCTTATATGAACGGACAAGATGCAATGCTTTCTCCTTAAGGTGGGGAACAAGGGCAGATATGCTTACTCTTTATCTATCCATTAAACTTTGAAACCTAGTCCCCACCAAAATAGTCTGGCAATAAAATGACACAACTAGGATAGGATTGGCAAGGTAGAAGCAAAATCTTTATATGTAGATGAAATGATCATCTACAGAGAAAATACTAAGAAATCTCTAGGAGCTCCTAGAACTTGTACTTGAATTTAGCAGGATTAGAAAACACAAGGTATATATAAAAATTCAGGTCTATGTATACTTGCTATAAATGAAGAATTGGATATGGAAATTTAAAAGTTATGTAGGAGTACAAAGGTCCTAGAAAAGTTAGAAAGAAAAACAGTGTTGTAAGACATTTAGTACCTAATTTTAAGACGTCTTCTAAAGCTACAGTAATCAAGGCAGTGTTGGTGTAAGGAAAGACATATAGATCATTTGAATGAAACAGAGAATCTAGAAATAGAACCACACATATATGGTCCACTGAAAAACTGATCACTTATTAACCAGTAGCAGTTAGCAACTGTGTTTCATGGTGTTCTGCTCCTTTGAATTGCCCTTTTCTTCCTTGTTCCCCAAGCACATGTCTACTCAAGTACATTTCCCACTCAAATATCCTGTCATTTATGGAGCCTTCCCTGGTCTTAGAAACCATTAGCTCTTTCCTCCCTCTGTAGTCTCATACATACTAATCCATCACAGCACAATATGGTTATCATTGTCTCCTCGTGTCTGCCTCCTCCAGGACACTATGAGTTTTAGAAGCAAGTACTCTATCTTTGTGAAACGAATAAATCAGTAAATGAATTATTTCAAGAATAATAAAGCACCATGTAAGTCAACAGACTTCGCAGAAGAGGAAATAGTTCACAGTCCGAGTGCCATTAGAACTAAGCTTTCTTTTTTGGTTGTTTCAGCCACAAAGCTAGTGCAAACTGCCAAAGAAAATAGAATTGCTCTTTCTTAGGTTTGCACCTGGGAGAAAAAAGTAAGAGTGCAAAAAAGGTCTGTTCCCATGCTTGTTTCCTCAACAGGGAAGAGGCACATAGATCATTGCATGGCCAATAATGCGTTTCTTGTCTTTGGTCATAAATGATGATCTGTTTTTTAATGACAACCATGTGAAGGGCTTAAGCAGCAGGAATAAAACACTGAATAATAATGTTTGCTTATAAGGCATTCATACAGTGGTTACAAACTTCTGGTGCCAGAGTGCCCCCATTTGGCTGTAAGCATGCACAACCTGAATTCTGAGCTCCTAAAATGAGCTACGTCCACCACTGTGCTGTGCTAACAAATATATTTTTCTATTTGTTTCAATTGTGTGTAGCCCTATCTTTATTCATTCCATATTACTATTTGTAAAGTTTCCAAGTATGACAAGATAAAATTCTATAAATAAGGAAATCAGAGTAAGAGAAATGTGGGATTAGCTAAGTAAGAAAAATCCAAAAGGGTTTACCCATTTACAAAGAAAGGAAGGAAATGGCCATAGCACACAACTTGTCACTTTCCAGTGCTTGAAATTTTATATTAATTGACTAAGAGCTGGAGACTCAGATTGCCAAAATCATGTTTGTTTACAGGGACTTTGCATTTTGCTATTCAACTGGAGGGCTGAAAGCAATTCTAAGACTCCTGCCTTGTGGCTGTACAGAGACTTATGACAATTTAGTGAGCTCTGATTTTATGTACCACACACATTTTAGCTGAATACATTTTCAGGTCAACTCTACCAAAATATATATTGTCCAAGTCTTACATGTGATTAGAATGTGGCATTTTTGTGAACCTTTCTGGCAAACCCAAATTATCTAGTGACTGTGTATCCTCAAATCCTCACAGTGTTGAGTGTTTGTTATTTTGGACAATTCACTACACATGCGTTACTTCTTGACATTCTCAAACACAGCAGTGAGTGTAGCCAGCATCTTTGTAGCCTTTGTGCCCTGGGTGTCTAAGAAGCAGCCCTTAAACGGAGACAGAAAGGCACTGCATTCTGTCTCTGGGAATGTGTGGGGACAATTGGTGTATCTGAAGTGATGACATTTTTATTTATACCAATCTTATATTTATTTATGTATTTTACTTATATACTTTATTCATACATTTACTAACTTAAATGTAAATTTTGCTGTGCTCAAGACCATTCAATTTTGCATTTAACAATTTCTCTTTGATGCACAACTGTATGCTTTAACTCTAAAGTCACTGCCAAACTCATCACCAAGCCAAATTCTCCCAAGTTAGGATATAGTATTTCTTCCTCTCAGGGTATTATAGTCCCTTAGCAAGTTTGAGGGGTGAGGGGTCAACCAGACATTTGTAAGCCTTGGTTTAGAATTTTTCTGACAGTTGACAAGAGAAGAATCAATTATTCTTCCAAATTAATGGAGATTAAGAGGAGTTGATCTAGAAGGACTCATGTCCTAATTGATATTTACTCAGGTTAGAGGGAGATAATGTATCTGATGGGTGGGTTAATATGAACAGGATCAATATCTAAAATAGACCTGTTTCCTGAAGATTCTCAGAATCAAGTATGTAAATGACTGGGCGAGTGGTAATAATTGTGCAACAGTAGCAGTAATAGCTAACCAGCACCTTCCTCAGACACAGCCACACTCAGTCTGCACAATGACCCTCGACTCCAGTAACATTAGGCTCGCTGTAGTTATGAGAAAACTGAAGCTCACAAGTCTGTCTTGGATCAGGTCATCTAGTACCAAAACCCAAGACAGAGAATCTCCATAAGTGATTGTTGTCAAGTATATTGTTGGGTAACTTGTAAGGGGTCCAGGGAAGCACAACCAGAGGGAACAGGCCACACAGAGCTAGGGATTCACTGGCGTCTCCCTCAGGCAGATCCCACCGAGACAGCATGAACAACGCCATACTGAGGTCTCATTCTTTTTTTTTTTTTTTTTTTTTTGTACAACCAGAACTATGATTCAAAGATTTTTTTCCATTAAGTTTATTGATACATTTTCAGTATAAAATACAGTTACATTCATCATTGGGATCTTGTACCTTTACATGATGTATCTTGGTTCTTATGTTTTTCCCATTCCCTGCCCTCCCCCCTCCACCCTTCCCTATTTACAAAGATTTTGTTTCCATTTTTTCCTTTTCTTATATTTTTTCTTTTCCCTTCTTTCCCTTCCCCTACCCCTCCCACTTCCCCTACTCCTTTAGACCTTTTCTTCCTATTCCACATTATCAATTATACATTTTGATCCTTATTTACACTTTTAGTTTTTCACACCAGAGAAACTATTCAATATTTACAGATGTGTGTCCTATTTATTTGACTTAAGAGTATGGCCTCAATGTGCACTCATTTAGCTATAGATGTCTCTAGTTTCTCAATTCTTTATGGCTGAGTCATACTCCATTTTATTTTTTTAAAACCCCACATCTTCTTTATCCAGTCTCCAGTTGATGGGCAGTTGGGCTGCTTCCAAGTTTTAGCTATTTGAGGTCCCATTATGTAGCCCATAGAGGAGCTTCCTTCTGTGCTGTGGTAGAGGTCAGGTATGATCTGTGGACTGTTTTCAGCAGGAAAATCAACCTCTTGGCATTATCCACCAGGGTAGCTCACTATAGTGGAGAACAACACTCAGAAAAGGGGAACAGATGTGCCATTAGCAGCAGCTGGGGTGCACCAGGCTAGTGAAGGGATCTAAGTAGGGTACCAAGGGTACCTTCCAGAGTGCACATTTCACTGCCAAGAGCTTCTAAATGGCAGAGTCATTATGCAAACCCTGATCTCCTTAAACTCTTGCCCCTAACTATACAGGCACAGATTAGCATATCTGTTCTCCTTTTTGAAGCTTTATCCAATTAGTGTTATTTTTCAAGATCAATTTTATGCCAGCCAGAATTTTATTCCAGCTCTTTCCAGAGATGGAAAGAGAAGTGTACCGACCAGGATGGAATGTGGTCCTTCCATCTTGTCCCATTCACTTGTGGGCTTTAGTGGAGGCCTGGGCAATGCTGACAGAGGACTGAGAGATTAATGCTTGTTTTTGGCTTTTTTCCCCAAAGGCAGATGAGATGCAGAATGTGATGCATTTTAATTACACGGCCTGGCCTGACCACGGAGTACCCACAGCCAATGCTGCCGAGAGCATCCTACACTTCGTACACATGGTCCGCCAGCAGGCAGCCAAGAGCAAAGGCCCCATGATCATTCACTGCAGGTAACCTCATCGGGGCATTTCGTGTCACACTGCAGGTAACCTTATCCGGGACATTTCCTGTCACACATCAAGGGATTTTCTGTCTGTTTTTAAATAAAAGAAATATCCCATTATGCCATAAAACTCTAATAAAATTTAATCATAAATGAATTAGGATTTTTAAAATCTGTGGTTAATTAACATCTTTATTATGTACATGATTTACTTATAATATGAATACTATAACTATAGCTTATGAGATAGGTATTATTTCAATTTGCAGAAGAAAACAAATCTGAGGGGTAGCAAAATTAAGGAATTCACACAGATTCCCACAATTGGAAGATAGAGGAAGTAAGATGCAAAGCTAGGTATGTGGGTCTCCAAGGGCCATGCCTGAACTATTATGTGTTATTATTCTTGTCCATCAAGGATTCTGAACGCTTATAACCTGCATAAATACAAGGTAAAATTATAAATAATTTTCCAGAGCTTAAAATTATATAAGTAGACATAAAAGCAAGATGAAAGAAAAATAAAAATATTCAACATACAAAGAGAAACATGCTTGCCATGGTTGTTCTTCAGTATTGTGTCTAAGTTTTGAGACAGCTAGAAGGAAAGGGGATTAGTGTGGAAGTCCACACTAATTCCATGTAGGAAAGGCACTACCTTTGGATGTAATCTTCCCTTCTCACTAAGTGAACACAGCTCCTTCACAAGCTATCCCTGTGACACAGTGTAACTCAAAAGATCAGGAGACATAAATACTATCTGGCTGCATATCAAAGGGTCCGAGTGGGAGAAAGATGTTAAGGGAAGCATTGGCAGCCAAGCCAACCTGGGCAGATAAATCTATAAAATCTATAATCCAAGATGTAACATGTTGGCCTTAGTGAATTAGAATGGCTAGGTTGTGTGTGTGTGTGAGTGTGAGTGTGTGTTGGGGAAGAGGGGAGCTACACAAGCCAGGTGTCTGCTTAGAGAAGATATCATTGCTGTCAGCTCACCATAGGCTCTCACAGTTTAAAAGCTATGCTTTAGCAACTGAGATTATCTCTTCTCAAAATGATTCTTTCCAAGACAATAAAGGGGCTCAGCCATGGGTCAAACTCTTGCATCCCTTTCACAGCACTTAGCAGTACAGCTCTGGATGAGATTTTACAGGTCCTCACATGGTGGCATCATTTTATCTGAGAAGTTCTGGAAGGGAAGAGTTGTCTAGCAGAAAAAAGCAAACTAGGCTCTGAACGCAAGGATCTTAATGTTGGATTCTTCTCCTAACAAATTCCATATGTAAGGTATGATCGAGATATATGGTGAACGTTTAAATTTCTTTTTTTAAAAAATGTAATATTCCTTCTCTCTTTGAAAACATCCCATCATTCTTGTTACTTTCTAAAGCATCCCTGGAAGTCTTTTATGACTGTCTTTACAAGGTGTGATCAAAAATACAGTGAATGCTGCTGCTGCTGAGTGCTAGCCAACAGAGAGGCAGGCTCATACAAACTTCCACTGTTTCTTCACCCACCTTGTTCACCGGATCTGGCACTATGTGAATTTTGGCTTTTCCCAAAGTCAAAATGATCATGAAAGTTGAATGTTTTCAGTTAATTTAGGACTTTGAGGAAGCTACAACAGGACAACTAAAGACTCAATAAAGAAGAATTCCAGAATGGTCTCAGAAAGGGACGAGAATTATGGATACTTGTGTTTACTGCCATACATTTTTAAAATTTAAATGTCCACTCTATGTTCCAATCATGTCTCATATAAATTGGCTTCAACTTTCTGTTTTTCCCAACGTTTCATATAATTCAGAGTTTGGGATCATTTGGCTCTTCATTCCTGTGGATGATTGGAAGAAAAGAGCTGGCTTTAATGTAGAGCTAGGCGTGGAGTGGGCAGTTAGCTGGCCCGTGTGAGTCCACCTCGACCTGTGGGGACTGGACTTGGGGAACTGGATGAGCCTGGACCCAAGTATTTAATTTGATTACAAAGCAACTAACTACCTAAACGATCTCTGGTAGATTGCAGCAGGCCCAGGACTCATGGGAGGGGGATTTGTGCTGTGATGGTGAACTGTACTTAGGGGTGAAGATACACAGATAGCTATGATCCCAGAGCTAGAGACAGGGTGTGGACATGTCAATTAGACTTCTGAGTGGGTGTGGGGAATGAACTCGGAGGTTTATTCATAAGACAGGACACTGTTATGTGTATCAGCTCTTTGAGGACAGGGACCAACTGTCTAGGACATTCAGTGTGGAGCCATTGCTTTTCTTCAGAGACAGAGAGCCCGGAAGTGTGTGGAGGCTAAGGAGGTGCAGAGCCCTACCCCCCTCAAGGGAAGGAGCAGGGATGGTCAGAAAAGTGACATCAGAAGGGCTCCAACCACAACTGCATTCTAAAACTCAGTTTGGTGGAAAACATCATCAGAAGTTTGGTCCCCTTCACAATGACGCTACCTGCAGTTTTTGTTTTTATTTTTTAAGAAACCCCCAGTTTGCTTTCACCCATCTAACATGCAGTCTGAACCTTCTTCTGCAGCGCTGGTGTCGGGCGAACGGGGACCTTCATAGCCCTAGACAGGCTCTTACAGCACATTCGGGATCACGAGTTTGTGGACATATTAGGGCTGGTATCAGAAATGAGGTCATACCGGATGTCTATGGTACAGACGGAGGTAAGCATGCAATAAATATGTACTTTCACATGCCCCTGACTGAAAAACTTACCATGATTCCACTTCATGACTCAAAACAACTGTCACAATTCATTTTTCATCTGCCTTTCCCATCTTGCCATTATGTGTGTTTAAACTGGTACAAAGTAAAAAAAAAAAAAGATATCAGCCTCTAGAAAGTGCACAGTGATGGTATTTTTGCTGGTGTCGCCTATGCTCTGGTAATCCAGAGCACGTGGATATGAACCAAGGCTAGAGCTAGTTGAAAGTAACAGCCTATTTGAGCCAGCGCCACCAAGTGGACACTGTGTAGAATGAAGGGATTTAATTTATGAAGGAAATGCAGCGCTGCTAGGATTGTTTGCCCTCGTTCTTTCTCCATGTGGCTTCTGTCCTGGTTCATTGTTGATGATGACCCCATAGGCTGAATATATTCCTTTGGACTGATTTTAAAGATTTCCACCCCCCATGACCTCCAAATCTACCAGCACTGCTCATGGATCCCTTCATGCAAAGGAAAGGATGTGTTACTCTAATAACCTGAGGCATCCCCTCCCTGGAGGCCTTGCATCGCACCTGGTCTGGCTGTGCAGCCACAGCCAGCTGCGACAGCACTAGAAGTACAGGCGATTGCTCATAATCCCAGGCACCCAGCAGGGCTTGCGATTTACTGACTTCGTTCAGGCGAACAATAATTCTTATCCTGGAGGAGTGTGTTTGGGAGGAACATTGCAGAACAGAACATACCCTGGCCTGACTTCTTTTACTACAGATTTAAACAATACCTTGAAAACTAGGATTAGAGGTCCCATTTGACCCAGCTATTCCCCTGCTGGGGATCTTCCCAAAGGAATTAAAAGAATCATACCACAGCGATATATGCACACCTATGTATATAGCGGCACAGTTTGTAATAGCCAAAGCTTGGAAACACCCCAATTGCCCATCAACTGGAGACTGGATAAAGAAGAGGTGGTATTTTTATAAAATGGAGTACTACTCAGCCATAAAGAAAGATAAACTAGAGTCATTTGTAGCTAAATGGATGCACATTGAGGCCACACTCTTAAGTGAAATAAACAGGACACACATGTAAATACCGAATTGTCTGGTGTGAGAAACTAAAAGTCCAAATGAGGACCGAAATGTATAATAGATAATATGAAATAGGAAGCAGAGGTACAAAGGGGAATGGGAAGGGGGGGGTGGGGAAAGGAAAGAAGGGAAAGAAGAAATGTGAGAAAATAAGGAAAAAACCGAAACGAACCCTTTGTAAATAGGGAGGAGTGGCGGGGTTGAAAGGAGGGCAGGGGAATGGGGAAAAAACAAGAATTAAGATATATCATGTAGCAGTACAAATTCCCAATGATGAATGTGATCATAATGTATGCCTAAAATGCACCAATAAACTTAATTTTTTTGAAAGAAGTCTCTTCAACCATGTCCTAAAATGTACCAATTAAGTTAATGGGGGGGGGGGTGCACCTTGTTCTTTGTCTCTTGCTCTTCCTACCGAGCACCACTAGAGGTCAGCAAAACTCAAAAAGCTTGGAGCTCTGGCTGCTCTCTCTGGCTCCGCTCTTCACTGAGTCTCCTTTATTGCTGTGGACACGCACATCACCTTCTCAACATGAGTTTACAGAGTTTACAGTGGTCTCCCAGGGAAGCCCGGTACCTAGTGATTAAGTAATGTTTTCTTAGTCGGTATTTTTTACTTTCACGTCCATAAATTTATATCCTAATATGTGATTAAGTCTCCCCTTTATGTATATTAATCTCCAGGCTTTCAAGGACCAAAAGCCTTTTCCGTATCTTGGGTTTGATAAATTGTCTGCCCCTTCACTTAACTGATACCTCTTATAACTTTGATTATAGCCTGTTCTCTTTCTTACTTTTCCCAACTTCAGATTCCTAATCCCTCTTTTAAAACTACCTTCTCCCAGCCACTCTACTTCACATTTCCAATTCTATTAATGTTTCTCTTCAGGTCTACAGAGCCAAGAAAATGTTTAGTTTTCTCCTTTTGTTGCCCCAAATTTCAGCTCTCCTGCTTGTTCGTTTATGCCAATATTTCAGATTGACATCTCCACAGAAACACTTTTTAAAGTATGATCTCCCTTCCCTGAACTTCATGGGGGGAATGCAAAGTCAGCAAAGGGCAGAGGCCCCAGACTACTGTTTTTCTCAACTGCTCAGGATTTTGCGATGATGTTTTCCAGTTCTGATTATTTATTTGTGATAATTTTGTTAGAATACCTTGTCCATTTACCTTTATTTTTTCATCACTTATCTGCTCACCATGGTTCAACCTTTATTTTGAATACAGGTTGATTTACCTGACAACACCCTCCAGCCCATTCGCATTCAAATCCTGTTGCCTTCTAATTTACTGAGTTAATAAGTAACAATGAGTAACACATCGTAAGAGGATAGAGTCATGCTGCAGTTGAACTCTGTGTTTTGTATAGAATCTACCACGGGACTCAGTCCCACATTTCTGCCCATCTGTGGTTCTAATTTCCTAATCTTTCCCATGATTCCACCTCAGTCTATAGATGGCAGAAGGGACTGATCGGATCCGCCATGTCCCCGGTGCCTGTGTCCCACATGGTCACCGCAGGCTGTGTGCTCTGTGTCCACCTGCCCTCCTCCACTTTCTCCTGGGACCAGACCAGAGCAGGGGCCGCTTACAGAGCGCCAGACCGGGAGAAAGACTGGGTCTCAGCCTCTCTCTGCTCTGCACGGTGTAGGGTCTGAAACCGGGGAGAGCCATGGGAGATGAAGAAAAGATGATGAAGAGACCAAGGTTATTCTTGAAGTTTGGGACCAGGTGGAGCCATAGCTTGTCGGGAGTAATGACCGCCTGGAGCACCGCACCCTCTTTATTTATAGTGGAAGGCAAACAGGAAGAGAAGGCGGGACAAATAGTGCTACGTGGTTTAGATAGAACGTAGCGTGATTGTTCTGTGCTTGGGGCATGTGCAGGAAGGGAATAGGACGGATACAATGTAAGTGTCTCCTGGGGCTGTGCCGTCCGGGGTCTAATCTATGAAGGAGATGAAGGGCCATCTTCAGGCTCGGCCCTCAACACCCCCTGTTACGTCTCCTCTCCAAGCTCCCGTTTCTCCTCTCTAAAATGTACACCCCAGTTCCCAGGAATGGCAAAGCACTCACAAGCCAAATACCAGCATCTAGAGTTCTTCGGAACTGCAAAATTACCACCTCTGGGTGGCTGTCGCCTTTCTTGGGCTCCCTTCTACCTATGCCAAATATTGTGTTTGGTTTTCCTCTAATAGCCTCTCCCAGGAGGTCAGTTAGGGCTCTGCCTTCCGCAAACTGTCTGCCCCCCGGGCAGCTTCAATTTCCCAGGGACTCTCAGGGATGTGTCCAAAAATAGTCTTTCATTTACTTTTCCTCTGGCCTTTTAAAAATTTGTTTGACACAAGCTTCCTCCACTGGGTGGTTATAAAGTGAGACAGTGTTGGTCTTCTTTATTTCCGGTGCTGCCATAACACCAGAAACAAGGGAGTGGCATGTGAGGACCACAAGGGTCGCTCAGTTATTGGTACAGTGAGTGCTGTCCCAACTCGAGGAAGATGTTTCCTGCCAAGCTTGCAAAAAATATGGAGTAGACAAGTGGATGCACATTGAGGCGATACTCTTAAGTGAAATAAATAGGGCACACATGTGTAAATACCGAATAGTTTCTCTGGTGTAAGAAACTGAAAGTGTAAATAAGGACTAAATGTATAATAGGTCATGTGAAATAGGAAGAAAAGGGGCAAAGGGGAGGAGTGGGAGGGCTAGGGGAAAGGATAGAAGGGAATGGGATTAATATGAGAAAATGGAAATATAGGAACAAAATCTTTGTAAATAGGGAGGACTGGACGGGTTGAAGGGAGGGCTGGGCAAGGGTGAAAAATAAGAACCAAGAGAGACTATGTAAAGGTGCAAATTTCCAATGATGAATGTCATTATATTATATACCTAAAATGTACCAATGATTAGAATGAATAATCGATAATGTAAAATAGGAAGAAAGGCCCAAAGGGGTAGGGGTAGTGGGAGGGGCAGGAGAAAGGAAAGAAGGGAAAGGACAAATGATGAGAAATAGAAAAAATGGAAATAAAGTCTTTGTAAATAGGGAAGGATGGAGGGCGTGAAGGGAGGGCTAGGAATGGGGAAAAAATAAGAACCAAGATGCGTTATGTAAAGGTACAATTCCCAATGAGAAATGTAATTGTGTTGTATACCTACAATGTACCAATAAAAGAATTTAATACAAAAAAATATATATGGAGTAGGTGAGGGGCCAATCTAGTGAGGAGGGTTGAAGTGTTTGTTTTATCCTTTGTACAAAGCTGTTGTATAAAAGCTTTCTTAAAGTCTTTGGGCATCTGGACGGGATCTTATTTGGAGATTACATCTCAGATTATGTCTAATGGTACTACTTATAGAGAAACTGGGAAATAAAAAAAAAGGAGAAAGGGTGTGCAATTACCCTTACTTCATGACACAAGTATCCTTAGTATTTTATTCAAGTGTAACTTTCATACAGTTATACTCATATGTATGTGGCATGTGAGCACAATGTTGTGAAAATCATATAAGTATGCAAATATATACCTATGTGTATGTATTTATATGTGCTAATTTTTCACTTAGTACTTTACTATGTATAAAGAACAAATCTCCTAATGCTTATAAATCTCATTTTAAGGACTAATGTTTCATTATAGACACACCATTGTTTATTTAAACCACTCTCCTTTTTATAGAATATTAAATTGCAGTTTTCCACTTTTTACTATTCTGTGTCCACACCATTTTCAGTGCTCTAATAAACACTTTACCCCCACTAATGATATGAAGTGAAGACTCAACAAACTCAAGTCATCATTGAATGTTATTTTTCCCTTTCTAGCTTTGTGTACTTCATAGATGAAAACTAAGTGTTCATTTTTAGCACATGTTTCAATATTTCCTCACTTTACTGCAAAGTCATTTAATAAGCACAACCTAAGTGCTAGTCGTTAATAATAAAAAAATGGTTCCTTTTCTTTAGGAATATTTGGTCTAGTGGTTGAAGGACTATACTCATTTTGTTTATTTGCATGTGTTACTGACTTGTATGGCTTCTAAAAAAATTAAGTTATTGACATTTTGCTATAATTTTGGAAAATATTTTCCCTTCTAGTTCCTGGCTTACCCTTTATTTCATTCTGTTTATGATTTTTTTACACACAGTAGTTTGAATATTTTTATTTATAATCTATTCCTTTGCTTTTAGTTTTAGAAATTCCTTCCTTCAACTAATTAAACCGTAATTAACCTATATTTTCCTCTCTGTTTTCATTTAACTTATTAAACTTCCTGAAATTTATTTTGCTCTTTTTCAAAGCACTACTGTGACTTATTAATTCAATATTCGTTGTCTTTAGCATTATGTAGTGATGATCCAATGTATTTCATGGTAACTTTACCTAATCATACTGTATTGTGTGCTTGAAATTTGTTAAGAGAGTAGATCTTAAGTGTTCTCAAATAACAGCTACAAAAAGTAATTGGATCAGATGATGCAGGTGGTAATTAGTCTGTGATAATCATTTCACAATGTATATCAGATCACTACATTATACACCTTAAAAATATACACTTTTTGTTTAATATACTTCAATGAATTTGAGGAAAGACATTCCACTGTAAAACAACAAAAAGTAGTAGTGCTCTAAGCGTTGTTATTAATAACAATCCCTTTACAGTTTGATTATCTTGGATTTTCTAGTTACAGAATAATCTCCATCAGTGATGAAAATGACTTCCTTTTACACCAGCTCCTAGTCATTAAAACTGTCACAGTATTCAAATATTTCATCTTTGCACACACTGTAGCTGCACAAAAGTTGATTACTCTGAAACACGTGTGCCCTTTGTTGCTCCAGGAGCAGTACATTTTCATCCACCAGTGTGTGCAGCTGATGTGGATGAAGAAGAAGCAGCAGTTTTGCATCAGTGATGTGATCTATGAGAACGTCAGCAAGTCCTAGTTTTGAACCCGGAGCGGTAAGTAGAGAAGAGCCCATGCGGGTGTTCTGTCTGAGAACAGCGGGGCATGATGGGACCGTGCAAAGGCTGAGGGAGCCATTTGCATTGGCTTTGCACTCGTCTCTCTGTGCAAACTCTTGACCCCTCAGGGGTGACCGTGGGGGAGAACAATCCCACAGCAGGTCTTGGAGCTTCATATACCTGCTTGGTGGTAGCAATAAGCAGGAGTGCATTAGTTTTCCGTTGCTGTGACATAATAGTCGAAGTAAACTTCTTAAGCGGAGGTAAGATTTCTTTTGGCTCAGGGTTTTGGTCCATGGTTCGCCCAATCACTTTTAGGTCTGTGAGGAGACAGAATACCAAGGAGGGAGGAGCATGTGGGAGAGAAGGCCTCTCATATTATGGAGGTCAGGAAGCAGAGGAAGAGAGAGAGGAAGGGGCTAGCATCCCAGTATACCCTTTAAAAAGCATGTCATCATGACTGTTTCCTCCAACGAACCCACTTCCTAAAGTAATGCCACCTCCTGGGGACCAAGTCTTCAATAAATGAGATTCCAGGGGCCATTCCAGTTTGAAACTATCACAAGTAGCTTCTACAACTCATAATGATTTGACTTCTATTCCCTCTACCCAGAACCTTAAATCATTCTGATATTGGATCTGTGCCTGCACTATAGGGAAACTACTATCCAACACTATCTAGTTAGATATTTTGTGCAAACATTTTACCGATTAAAAGGATCCTAAAGGATTACAGAAGAGACATGACCTGGAGTGGACACTCCAAAAATAATAATAATAATAAACAATGGAATCTCAGAATGGTGGAGTCTAAAAATGCCTTGCTCTCACTCATTTGGGGAGCACATAGTTGAAAATGAAAACATCCAAAGCCCTGTACTCAAATTTTGATTAAGAGATCATATTTTGGAGGAGTAAGTAAGCTTGGCCGAGGTAAGCAAACTAGGCATTTAGCTCCATAAACAAAGTAGCCATTCACAGAGTGGGGAGAAGGCAGTGGTGCATTGTGGGAAGAATAAGACAGAATAGGAAGCATATGAGTCAATAGCAGCTGGATAAGTTGGTAGTGTACATCTCCACCCATCCATTGTACTTCCGCATCGATAAGAAAGACCATCAAAAGTGAGCAGAAAAGGTAAAGGATAAGGAAGCACCGACAGAGAAAAGTTTGCAGGTAGAAGGACATTCAGCCCCACAGAACAGAGTCACACAGCTGATAAATTCCCATCCATAGGAGTTGTGGGGTTGAGTGTAGGGAGAGCAGGTGTTAGAGCAGGAAGAAGGTGGAGGAGACCCCAGCCCACTGACTGTCTTTCTCTCTCTCTCATTCACAGGAGAGGACATGATCTTCACTCATCCGGCCTTGCTTCCAGAATTTGGGGGGCCCCTACTAGTCATTCAGCTAAAATGAGCCCCTGCTTTGTAGTATGTGGCCAAGGAGATAATTTATCTCACAGAAGCACTGGGAAGACTTAGCCTTAAAGAGCCTACAGTGTCTTTTGGACTCTCACTTCTGGACATTTAATGGAGCAAATTCAACAGGACATCAGAAATGTTGGCACGCTCTGTGAAGGGTGGGGAGTACGAAACTTCTGAAGAGTTTGGTTGGCCCTCTGCTGGTTGGGCTGAATTTTTTTGTTTGTTTTGTTTTGTTTTAAGTGCAATAATTTTTGTACATGTGTGATTTTATCAGAAAGTTGAACTGTTTTCTGCCCACACCAATGATCAACCCCATAGCCCAGGAAGGAACAGGCATTGTTAGCGTCAAATTATACCTCATTATTTAAAAGAGGCATGGCCACACACAAGGAAATGATCATTGTACTTCAAAGGAAGTGAAGCAACTATGTATATTCCAACCTTGAAACTACTGGATCAGAAATGGAGGTGGATGGGGAGGAGAGAAGGGCTTTACCCACAGATCAACTGCGTACTCCAAATATGAAAAGCTGTACTTCAAAAGTAGAGTAGAAAAAACATTTGTCTTAATTATTCTAGTTCTTAATGGTTTTCTTCCTTATTACCTGTTGAGTGTTTCTTCTGAGGTCCTTTTGGACTGAATTCAGTGCCCGGGTCCTTTTCAAGAAACCAGATCTGGTTCAGAAGAGTTTCAAGTCTGACCCTAAACTCCGTTGCTGTCTGAGCAGTCTTGGTGCCTAGAGTTTGCATTTCTTTTTCTGTTGACCCACATATGTGTGAGCGCTACTTCTCTGAGAAACTATAGGCTGTGAAAAAGCACTTTCTTTCCTCTGAAGAACTGGGAGTTGGTGAAGTTACAGCAATGAACTTCAGCATGCTGGGACAATTCTTTGGCTACCTTCTTTCGTAATTTTGTCGAGCATCTCTCTGGATTCCCACAGAGATGTCTTATGGGTTTGTTTTCTTTTTGGTTGTCAGTTTCATTTTTAACCTGTGTAAGTAGCAACATTTGATTCTTTGAATTTTGTATAATTACAGTACATGATTGTGTATTGTGACATGAATACTGTCAAAATGGCTATTGGTGGCATTGTGGAGCCTGTGACTTTGTGCCTCTTCCTGAGAAATAAGAGGTGATGGTATAGAAAAACAGAGGAAAACATTCGGAGCTGAAAGTAAACACAAGCTGCTGCCTCCCTGTGGCAATGTGGCTGTCACGGGCTTTCCTGTATCTGCTGCCAGCAGGCTCGGGGCCTCTCTGTGTGTCTGCTCACCACCCCTTCCAGCCTCCCCTGCATCCCCGATCATCTTCACGAAACTGCAGGGGGAAGATCAGTTTCGAATTTCATCAGTGACCTTAGTGATGGTGAAGGATGCCAGGCGAACAGCCCTGCGCCCCACTGACTCATGTCACTGAGAAGGCCTGGCCACAGAGCCCTTGGCAGAGGCCCTCACATGAGCTGGCCAGCAGGGCTCAGTTTCACCTTGCAGGGTGAGTGGCAGAGGACGTCCGCACCCTGCAGGTGAACAGCTTGGGCTCCTGGGGGATTGTCAGTTCCTCCTCACCCCCGTGTTCTACATCTTGTCTCCCTGCTGCCACCTCCTCCTCTTCTCGTCCTATGCTCTTATTTTCCCTCTTGGTCATTTTCATAACACATCATGCCATTCTCAGGAACAAGCACAGTTAAAGGAAAGTGGCAGAGGTTACATGTGACGTCCTTAGGTTCTCAGACATGGATCGGCCAGGGGGAAGTGTGGTGTGGTGGGTGGGCCAGCTGATAACGTGTTTCCAGCACTGCCACAAGGAAGCTTACAGAAGTTTTCTTGCCTGGAACGTGACTTCCCATGAAACAAAGCACTTCATAAATATTTCATGTTTTCCTTGAGCACCCTTTCATGGGAGGGATCGAATAATGCCAGATCAGTTTTCCCAAAAGAAAAGACAAAGTATGTGAGTTTAGACGGAAGACTCAGAGGTTATATCACAGAAAGGTTGCAGAGAAGCGCTTTGCCGGATCACCACTGCAGGGTGTCTGCAGCCATCGCTGCCTTCATCGAAGATCTTTAGTCTGTAGGGGTAGGAGAGGCATGGGTCTAGCAAAAGACTTGGGCTTTAATCCTGATAATGACTTTGGAACTTATCTCTGCTGAGTCTCAGTGTATAGAATGATCCGATCATATCTCCATGTTTCGTAGGTATGAGTGCTGGATGTGATCATTTGCCCAAAGGTACTTTTTAGTATCTTGTTCTCATGTATTCCCAAGGTTACTCCAGCTGGCTCTCTTTCCACTCCAGCACTCAAATTTAGCATCCAGAGGGAGGCTTCCAGGATCTCTGTATTATTAAGTAGTTTTGTGGGGTTTTTTAAAATCATTTGAGTAGTGCTTTGTGCTGAAAGAACACAGAGGCATTAGCACATGCAGTTCAAACAGCCTGTGTAATATACAGGGCTAAAGACTTTAGAATTGCAAAATATTTGCCTTTAAGTGCTATTGAGATCAAATTCCTTGGCTGCAAAAGATAATTTATGAAGTTAGTTGAGAAACTGCCATTAGGGTCTAATTTATAAACTTAATAATTATCACCACTATATCTGTCATTACACATTGTGTGATTTTTTTTAATTAGAAAAGGAAAAAAAGTGACAGCAGCATTTTTTAGTTAGCCTTTCTTTCTAATACATGATCTAAATTATCTCACTTCAAAGACAAAGTTGCCCCTAAAATTTGAATTAGAAACGTTTTTAATATTTTTAATGTCAGATTTTATAAGGCCTCTCCTTTCCTAAAAGTCATTCCCTGTCCCCAAAAGGTTGACATATCTCCCAAGGGGATTGTGGCATCAACATGAGAAGCAGGAGCCTGAGGATTTGCGTCTGAATTTTCTGCAGGCTGCATGATATCTGCTTGCTAGAGGATTGGCCTTTAGCCAAGGAGTTAGAATTACTGAGTCCAATTTGTAAGAGCCAAAATTCTCCCTGCTTTCGAGCAAGGAGGCCTTCCTCTGCACCCCGGGAAATGTATGAAGCAATGTGCTTCTAATAGCTGGCTCGCTTCCTAGGTCACAGACCTCTAGGCTGGTATTGGCCCAGGGAAGAGTCCAGGAGCCATGCCTGTGACTGGATACGACATTTGCTTTCGCCAAAGGGGTTACAGAGCAGCAAAAACATAACATGCAAAACTGCAAACTTCTGCCCCTGATTTTCAACAGCCCAGTTCAGATGCACATGAATGCAATTTCAGCCATAACAACTCTGACACCTGGCTTTCAGAACAGGAGGGCTTGTATTTTCAATTTCAGCTGGTGTTTATCAGAAGACTTTATCTTGGTGGGCCACTTGATTACAGACAGAGTATAACATTGAGCTCTGGAAGCTCCATTATAACAGTAGCAGCCTGGAGGTTATCCAGGCAGGTTCACCTGAATCGTTAAGAATATGGAAAAACAACAGGTCATGGTAACAAAACTGGGAAAAATGGGGCTGTTCAATCTGGAGTAGAGATTACTCAATCATTCATTCAACAAACATTTAATCATGTTCAAGGAATCAATCAACGAATGGAAGATTTCTTGGCCACATGCAGCAGTGTGAGGCACTATGATAAGCACAAATGAAGAAACATACTGGGTTTTTTTTAAAAAACATGTTAAGAATCAGCTTCATGGTTCTTGAAAGGGATGAGAAGGAATCAGAAGTTTATCTCAACATTTTTTCCTTTTATGTCCCAAAACTTTGTCAGTCTATCTTCCCACCAGGCATACTCACAAGCCAATATAATGGTAAGGGGTTTTTTTCAGTACTTAGGAATGCACTGAGGGCCTTCACACTGAGCTACATCCCTGACCCGCCTCCTCTTCTCCCTCCCTTCCCCATCCTCCTCTTCCTTCTCCTTCTTCTTACTTACTTTGAGGCAGGATCTCACCAAGTCACCCAGGCTGGGCTCAAACTTGTGATTCTCCTGAATGGATGATAAGCTTTGGCCTCCAGTGGCTTACCTATCAGAAGATCAGATAATCATTGCTTTTGTCACCCACTAGAGACCCTGCCTGGAATGTGACTTCCCTCCTCCTTGATGAGAGTTACCAAGCTAGCCTTCCCCTGACTCACAGCAGGACTCACTCACCTACCTGGCCTTGAATCCTTTTCCCCTGAACACTTTCAGTATGAGGAATAGCTGTCTCCCAAGGCAGCCTATCCCTTATTTTTCAGAAGCCATTTCCTCCTTTTGTTTATATGTCTAAGGATCCTACTAGCTTAAGAATGTATGAGTTGTGCCCCTCAGGGACATAGGCTTGAAGCCCAAGTCCATTTCCCTATGATAGGGAAAATGTGCTGTGTGTGTATCACTGCCCAAGGCTACACTAAAGAGAGAGAAGATGAGCTTCTCTCATAGGCACCAAAGATGGTGTTTGTGAGGTGATCAAAATATATGGTGACTCTTTAAACTTTTATTACAGTAAAAAACACACTACCATTAATCTCCCTTAAAATACTCACTTTAAACACACTTATCCCATTATTCTTACTACTTTCTGAATCAGTTCTGGAATTCATCTTTCGTGAGTGTCTTTAAGAGGTATGATCAAAGCGATGGTAAATGCTGCTGCCGAGTGCCATCCAACAGAAACGCAGGCTCGTAGAACTACTATTACAGACTACTGTGTGTCCTCATCCACCGAGGCACCAGATCCAGCACCGTGCAACTTGTACCTCTTCCCCAAAGCCAAAATGACTATAAAAGACAAATATTCTAAATCAATTCAAGATGTTAAGGTGGCTTTGATGGTACAATTAAAGATGCAAAAGAGGACTTCCAAAACTGCTTTCAAAAGTAGCAAGAATGATGGAATAAGTGTGTTTAAAACAAGGGGTATATTTTGAGGGGGATTCATGACAATGTGTCCTTTACTCTAATAACTTTTTTCAAATTGAAACATTTACCAAATTTTTCAATCGTACATTGTACACCTGACTCTGGGCAATAATGGTAGTTTTCGTTTCTTTCCAATATACATTCTTTACATGTATATTCCCTTCCTTCAAAATATCATAATGAGGTAAGAATACTCACTGACCAGGTAGAAAAGTTTTAAAGAATTATAGATCAAATTATAGTAAATACTGAGCTACAAAGTAGATGCAGGGTTCCAACCCTACTCTGTCTAGCCCTGAGCACTTTTCCCCCAATACTTTATAATATTTCTCATTCATACTTACTGATGAATTACAATAGAAGAGAATGAATAGATTCATCTCTAGGTAATATACTTAATATAGATCTAGGTAATATATTTAATATAGAGGATAACCTTTCAATTTGAGAAATAGTAAATTTCTAATCCTCTGGTTATCTCATGCCAGGCACTATGGGAGAGGTTGTGACTTTGAAGATGGACTTGACAAGGTCCCTATTTCAAGTTTACATTCCAGTAGGGGAAGTCAGAAGTGCAAGTCGGGGCAATAAAATGTTACAGGCACCATGATAGAATCATATCAAGCATCCAGTGTAGGTCCAAGGGAAGGACAAATAACTTTTTTCTGGGAAAGTCAGAAAAGACTACACTGCCACATTAATGTCTTAAAGATTGCAGGGCCACATGAAATAATATGAATGACACACATTCATTCCTGCATTCAGCAAACATTCATAAAACAGCCACTGTACATCAATTGCTAGGACACCGAAGGGTGACTGATTTTTTTTTTTTTTTTGGTACTGGGGATCGAACTCGGGTCCTTGCGCTTGCGCAGCAGGCTCCAAAACCACTGAGCTAAGTCCCTGGCCCAGGGTGACTGATCTTTTAATCCTGCCTCTGAACTATTTTTTTCTCATAGCAAAACTGAAAATCTCTTTCCAGGCCTTGCAGACAGCTCCAGTTCAGTCATTACTTGGCAGAATCCAGTGAGCGTCGTGCTCCTGCAAATGGAAGAGAGCATTTTGGAGCCACCCCATTGCGTTTATGGTGGGGCCATGTGACTAACAGGAGATGATGGGATTAATTCTGTTTCTCATCACTGAAACACAGTACCTGATGCCCACAACTTAAAGGAAGAAGGGCTTAGTTTGGCTCGTGGTTTTGAGGATTTGGGCCACG